AGGACGGGAGAAGGTGGGGGTGGGGGGGGGCACATGTGGGAGCAGGCATGTGCCATGGGCATTCACTCACGGCTCCCAAACAGCTGCAACAGGAAGAAGAAGATGTAGACGATGTCCATGTAGAGGCAGAGCGCGCCGAACACATGCTCCTCTGGGCTCAGGGAGTACCGCCGGTTCCCCATCAGGAGCTGCACGTCGAAGGCCAGGAACTGCAGTGGGGACAGGCACCGGGGCAGGGTCAGCCTGGTCCCACACAGTGACCAGGCAAACAAGCTCACCAGCAGTACCAATGTTTGCCACCACTCAACAGTCACTAAAATAAAGGAAGCGGGGGCCTTGAAGTGACTTTTTGAGTGGGGCTCCATAGACTGCAAAGCTGCCTCTGCTCACCAGAGTGAAGACCAGCGCCCCCAGTCCTGCGTAAGCTGTTTGCAACCAGGGAATCTGATGGAAAGAGACGAAATGTCATTTTTAAATCCATTATACCAGTCTTAGCATTCAGTGTCTATACATTTACATTAATGACACTTACCTCAGCAATGGTGACAATGCAAATTAGGTGACATTAGGTGACACTCTGGAGCTTTCCAGCACACGTCAGACAACTAACGCACGTTACACCCCCGAGCACACTGCCCCCCCAGTGCATGCGTCAGAGCCGCCCATCGCCACTTACGTAGCCGAAAGGCACGGTGAAGACCAGCAGCAGCCCGGTCATCATCAGCACCATCATGAGGGAGAAGATCAAGCCGTGGCAGAGAGTGAAGTCAAACTGGGGATGAGGAGATGGAGAAGTGGTCAGTCTCAATCACTCATCGCGGGTCCACAACGCCTGTTCTGGGCCACGTGGAACTGGCACACCTTTGTCTGGAAGCAGAAGAGCGTGACCCCCAAGCAGACCAAGGCACAGATCCCAACGCAGAGCAGCACCACCCGGGTGTTGTGGTAGCTATGGAGACAAGACAGGGGCGGGAAGAGTCATCAGAGCAGGTCCACGGCAAACACCTCTCCATGGCAGCCTCACACGTGCATGGCACCGTACCTGGCCAGCATTCCCGCCATGTAGGACATCGCCAAGGTCTAGAAAGAACAACAAGATCATCATCATCACCACCACCTTCATCATCAGAGCCGAGATGTGCAAAGAGAAGCCTCCTCCTAATGCTGTCAGACTTGCTCCCCATTGGGTGCAGATGCACACTCCAGGTCATGTGACAAGGCAGCCCCGCCCACAAGCCACGGAGGCTGCCGCTATTCGAACTATCAGTGTGTGCTGTACAGGTCTGTAACCAAGGGCAACGGCAGGCCATCTCTGGATCAGTCATGCACAGGATCACCCCTCAGCCGGTACTCACAAAGATGCCCAGAAGTATGAGGTTGGTGGGATGACGTCGTCTGGGAGGAAGTCAAATTAATAATCAGCATATCTGTGTCATCAGCAGCCTGCTTACCAAGCTCCAAATCCATTGCATGAAAGCTAGTTTATTTGAAGATCAAAGTCGATGGGGAGGGGTGTGGCTTTACCTAGCACTTGTGCTGCATGCCAGCACCAGGTACGTCCCCATGAAGGTGATGCTGCGGGGGGAGACAGAGAGGTCACTGGCCACATCTGGTTAGACGCACTGCCTCTGGCGCCCAGACTTGACAAGGTGAAGGTGTGTGTCATCACCGGGGATAGGAGCTACTTACTAAGAGGCCAGATACAGCACACGGTGGAATTGCACAAACATCCTGACCTGCTCGCTGCAAGAGAGGTGGGGAGGACAGAGGAAGGAGGAGCGGAGAAGAGAACATAGGACAGGAGGGGAGGGGAGGGGAGAGCAGAAGAGTCAGCTGACGTGCATCATTTCCACTCCCTTATCAGACAAAGACAATCAGCCCCCAATCAGCCTACAATGAACATGACTTCATAAATAAAATAAACTGGCAAAAATTAATGCTCATCACATTACAATCATATAGCAGTCTGAGGGCATGTCAGGGACAGCAACAGCAGTATTCTGATAATGTCACTCAATTCAGGGCCTGCTTACCAGAATGTGAAGAGAGCCACGACGCCGAAGGTCACCATCAGCTGGAGCATCAGGATGGCAAACACCTGCGAGAAGGTCACTGGTTCACATTAGCGGCTCACGGGCCCGCCCTGCAGCTCCAGAGCCCAGTCCAGCCTAGCTAAAAGACTCCCACCTTACGGATAAACATGCGCCGGATGCTCTTGTCCTCCCAGCCGCTCCCGCTGAGACCGTCCCAGCTGTCGCTGGGGTCCGAGTATGGTGAAGACACATCAGAGGCGTAGGGGTTGGAGTAGCCCGAGCCTACAAGAGGTGGGTGGGGCATTAGGACCGGGCGGACGTTGACTACATGTAAAGCACCCTAAAGGGCGAGTTAGAGAGCACCAGGTGAACGACAGCTGGCGGGCAGGGGGCAACAGAAAGACAAGGCAGGGCAGCAGAATCACAGGGTTACTCACTGGGGCTGGGGTGCACGTACGCCCAGCTTGGGTGGAAGGGCACAAAGGGAGGAGCCTGAGTGGCGCCCGCCAGACCTCTAGGGCCTTGAGGCTTGTCTCCAGCTGTGGCTTCAGTGTAGCTGGGGGGTTCAGTGGGCATACTCATGACTGGGGGTAGAACAGGATGCCGGGGGTTAGATGGGGGTCCATGTCAGTTCAACACAAACATATCGAAGATGAAAAATGGCACTCCGATGTCTATAAACGGTTTAATGCTTTAGCAATACGGGCCAGCAGTAGCGAAGACAGAGCTCAGAAGCTACACTGTGATTTCCGGATGGCACCACACCAGACACAGTCACACGTCACAGCCTGAAGTCAAACCCAAACACATAAGGCAGAGCCAGATACGGGGAACTAATGCTAACTGCAGTCAATAACTGATTAATTCAGGGTTGCCAACTTTGGTCAGTTGGCTGGAGTGAGATTTTCAATTCGAGACAATTCACATGTATGTAACAGTTGTTTGTTTACCAACCCAACGCTTTTTATGTATATAATCTTAGATTTATAATAGAATAATACAGATTTGCCGTAAGATTTCTTGCGTGAGCGTGACAGTCTGAAAGCATCAATGTCACGCCAGAAGCGTGAGAGTTGGCAACCCGGTTAATCATTTTTCAGCTTACCTGAGTGTCACGGGCGGGCACAAAGCATATAGATACCTGTAGAGCAAGCTTACTGTTCAAAACGTGGGGTGTAGTTATTGACTCCTTTGTTAAATACAAGGAAACCGTTTAAAAAACAATTTCGGTTCCTCCAAGGCCGCTTGGATGTGTGGAGGCGCAGTCAACAAAAGGACCGACACCAACAAGCTCAGGGTAAACCTGCCACTAAAATGCTTTTTACAGTCAAACTTTTCTGCTGCACCCAAAGCAGGTGTCCGCCGGTACCTGAATTTCAGAATTTCGGCGCCTTTCCGAACCTCAGCCGTACTTTTGTATATCTGAATACAAAAATGTGCGCTGGAGCGGCTGCACACAGCACGACTTGGTGGGAACGGAAATCGGGGCATTTCGACAGCACGGTGGCACCATACCAGGGTTAAGCTAGGCCAATACGAGCTAAAACGTATTATTTCAAAGCATTACTCTTACCTGCAACAGAGAGGTGGCTGAAAAATGACGGTACCTGCTAGCGAGAGAGATGAGGAACAGTCCCGCAGGTGACGCAAGCGGCCACGTGCGCCGCTGGGGATTATGGGAAAAGGAGTCCATATAGGCACCCCCGCCACAGCAAAATTGCAATGGAGTAAAAATGGACCGTACCATATTTAGGAAAGATACCAACTGGAAACCCAGTACTGGGTTTAGGGTTTGTATCCAGTATAGTAGTTTGGTGGGTTTTAGTATAAACGCAGTTTATTATGTTTTTAAGACAGCTTGATACAGTCTGTTCAGTCATCCTCACCTAGTTCCAAGAAACTGAAAACATTACATAATATGAATAGTATTAATCTCAATAAAAAGGCCATGTTTTTAAAATGGTGAAAGAAATCATGACATAATCCTCTGGTTGCCATACACCAATGCAGTTTTCCTAAATAGCAAATGAAATTCAGCCTGACATACAAAGCAAAGGATCATAAATAAAAAGAACCTATAGAGGAACAACAAAATCCAAACTGCATAGGAGGGCAAGCCTCAAGCCAAGGAAGCATTTATTTTTATTTATCAGATGTTTCTGTCCAGTGACATAAAAGTACAGGGAATTTTATGAATTAATGAGAAAAAGGAGAAAATTTCACTTGCAGCACATTATTGCAAGTTGCCTGTTACCATGGACTGAACCTCACAAATCACTACAGCCCAGTTCCATGGGTTGCTGTCCAAAGGGCATGATCACAGGGATCCTGTGTGGGACCAGCCAGCATAAAGTAAACTAGAGATACTGGCAACAATGGCCTGGACTGTGCATCACCTGGAATATAGAAGTTATACCCTCAGATCTCTTATGTTTAGAGCATTTTATTTAGACTTTTGTCTTTAATTCAAGAAATGAGTTACACCACAATGGCGTACTCCTCCTAGTGTCTGATAAATATGGAATAGCATGTAAATCATTCCCTCTTGTGGGCCAAGCTACACCGGTATCCAGAGCTTGTACAGTGAACTGGGCGATCAAGAAACAGGCGGCAGTGTGCAGCTCAGGACAGGCTGAAACTTCATTCTTATCCTCGATTTAGACAAAAGCATCTGCTAAATAAACGTAAACCTGTCGACTGATTTTAAAACCCCATTTTAACTTTAGTTACTCGGGGGAGAAGTAGCAGACTGGAGACTTACAGAAAAAACACACACCACTTGATTTACATCTGATATCCAGATCCCAACAGACAACACCCAGATCTCAGAGTACAGGCTGCGCAACACAAACATTCTCCATAAGTTTCAGGGAAATAGTTTACCTAAACACAGGTAAAAAAAAAATGCTTCTCAAAAGAATGTGTAACAAACAGAGTAAATGACACCGAAACCAGCTCTGAGGGCCCAAAACAATGTGTGTCTTTATGCCAATAATCCATCTGAATAGCCTCCACCCTCAAAAACACCAACATCAGTGGTCCTACTGCAGTCAGCATCAAACAGGGATGGGAAGTGAAAGTATCACAATGGGAGTTTACTCATTTATTCAGACAAACCCATTATTGCAAATACAATGTTAAATAAATGACAAAATAAAAGCTCTTGAGTGGGAAGGGAATCTAAAAGTGATTCAGTCCCATTTGTGTGGCTGCAGATACAATTAAAAGGAAGATTAAGTGCAAACGTCACAAACAGCTTTATTTGGAGAGACTAGGGCAAGCCTACTGTGACGAGACTGACATCCTCGCTGAAGATGGTTCATGAGGGAGACCTGGCGTTTTGCAAAGAGATGGGGGGGGGGGTGTACTGCCAGTTCAGCATGCTTCCAAACAGCCATGACTGAGGGAGGAAGGGAGGAAGCTTCATGAGGTTTCTGGTGGTGCCACCTGGACAATGTTCAGATGTCATGCATCTGTTTGTCGATTTTGGATTTCAAGTGCTCCTTGTACGCCAAGATGTCCCTGTTCCATTTAGTGATGGTCTGCTTCTCACAAACCCAGATTTCCTGAGCCACCTGTGTGGGAGCACAAAGACAGATGCAGGAGGTGGGCATTCAATCCAACACTATCTAGAAATTGTGACCAGAGGCTTGTAGACCAAGAGGTTCTAGAACATACGCGACTAATTCCAAGTGAATTGCATTTGAAGGTTACAGGGCCGGCTGTGAAAACGTACCTGTTGGATCAGCCTGAAGTCGTGGCTGACCAGCATCATGCCACCCTCAAAGTCATTGATGGCTTCTGCCAGGGCATCGATGGTCTCAATATCCAGGTGGTTGGTGGGTTCATCAAGGAAGAGCATGTGGGGGTTCTGCCAGGCCAGCCAGGCGAAGCAGACCCGGCACTTCTGCCCATCTGACAGGTTCCTGATGGGACTCACCTGGAGGAGGAAGAGAAGCGGCATGGGCTACAGGCAACCACGAAGAAGAGCTTCAGGGGGACCCGCTTTCAACCGAGGGCTCACCTGCTGCTTTCCAGTCAGTCCATAGCGACCGATGATCTTCCTCATCTCCTCTTTCTCTTTGATCTCGGGGTAGCACTTCATCATGTAGTCCAGTGGAGACAGGTCCAGCTCCAGCTGCTCAGTCAGGTGCTGTGAAGGACAACCTAAGCAGTCAATGCTTCAGCCCAGAAGCAAATCGCCCACTACATTCCGACAGGAGAGCTTATTACCATCCTGTTCACAGGAAGCTCAAAGGGACGAGACCTCTTGGCAGTTATTTCAGACTGAGCTGCACATGGTCACGACCCCCCACCCCAGAAGACCCAGACATCCTAAAATCAGAGGCTTGTTGTGCTGTTGCGCACCTGATCAGATAAACGCTTCGGTCCATTTTTATCAACGCACCATCACACTGAGAACATACTGCTTGGCGACGGTACTATAATTCGGCCTTTTGTTTACATCACATCAGGGCAGCAACCCAAGCCTGTAGAGGGCGCCTGTGAGCACACTGACAACCAGGGCTCTCAAACTTCATCCACCCAGTTTATCAGCCAGAAAAGCAGGTTACTATCATAGACAGCACTCTTCAGCACTCTGGCTGAGCATGAGTACGGGCAGCACAACACTCTTAGCTCAGTAGCAGCAGCAATCAAGACTGCACAATGTTCTGCAGTTACAGCCTCAAATCAAGAATATACAGCTCTTGAAAAAATTGAGATCACCATCAAGTTGTCTAAGACAGCAGTACACAAGAAGGTGAAGCAGGAGATACTGGCAGTAACCAAAAACCAGCCAGGTAGAGGGCAGAAGCAGCTTTCTAATGCCAGAGATGACTGTCAACTTATCCAGCAGTGCCTCACAAATTGGACCTTGAAAAAGATTGGGAAAAAGATTGGTGCGAAGTGCACTGCTAAGACAGTTCATAACAGGTTAGCAGAAGCAGGACTGAAGACCCATAAAGCAAGGAAGAAGCCCTTCATTAATGAGAAGCAGGCAAGAGCCGGACTGGAGTTAGCAAGAAATGTGCATTTTACACAGGTGCATAACCATAAAGTGAGAAATAAGTGAAATTGAAAATTCAGCTGTAGTCTCAATTTTTTCCCAGAGCTGTACGTGCTTCATCTGAATTAAACAGAAGACAAGAGCAGTCATACATTACCTGGTGGTATCTGCCGATCTTAACATGAGAGTGTTTCCTAATCATACCATCAGTGGGGAGAAGCTGAAATAGAGAGGATGTGTTAGACCTTCATTCACCTGCTGTGTAGTGACCATTCACAGCAGTTTGAGGACCTGACATGAGGAATGAGCTCCACACCTCGCCTGCAAGGAGCTTCAGCAGCGTGGATTTCCCAGCCCCGTTCGGACCCACCAGGGCCACCCGTGTGTCCAAGTCTATGCCAAACTCCAGGTTCTTGTATATGCAAGGCTGAAACCCAGAGTCGGGAGCGACATTAGGCCCACGGCACCAACCGCAGTACCAGGACCACGTCCGGAGAAATACAGGAAACTCACCGAGTCATCAGAGTATCTAAAGCTCACGTTCTGAACCATGATAACTGGAGGAGGTATCTTCCCACAGGGAGGAAAATAAAATGACAGGGTCTGCAGAGACAGCAAATGGAAAGCCAACAGATCAGCCTGTGTTGCTGAGCTCTGAGGCCAGGACAGATCTGCAGGCTGGCCAGAAAGCCTATAGCCCATTAAACACACTGAAGATCAAAGACCACCATCACTCTTAAAGCATTATTGGGGATCATTCTTTCAAACAAGCCAGGATCCCCAAGCAGCTTCAGAGTGCATCGCGCTCAACTGCTGTAAATGGGCACCGGCCCCAAACATACCTTGTCATTGACAACGCGCTCCGTCAATCCCGACGCCACCATCTTCTGTAGGGTCTTCTCTTTGCTCTGCGCCTGCCGGGCCAGCTTGGCAGAGCCATGACCGAACCGTGCAATATAGTTCTAGACAAAGACGAAACATAAATCACATGTGATCTGCATGCCGTGGAGGTGCCAATCTGACATGGCAGATCACAAGGTATATGCAGCGTAACTGCAGCCTGTGAAGTTCCAACTTAATACCATATGACCACAGGGGGGCCGTGCTTACCTTCATGTGTGCGATCTGGTCCTGCTCCCAGTTGTACCGTTTCATTTGGTTTTCCTCCAGCTCCTCCCTGGTCTTCACATACTGGTCATAGTTACCCTTTAACACAAACACAGGCATTAATGCTGCATGCATCTAAACACCCAGCAAAGGCGCTTAAAGGATGTGACTGATCGGCAGTTATTTCAGACTGAGCTGCACATGGTCACGACCCCTCATCCCCCACCCCAGAAGACCCAGACACCCTAAAATCAGAGGCTTGTTGTGTTGTTGCGCACCTGATCAGATAAACGCTTCGGTCCATCTTTATCAACGCACCATCGCACTGAGAACATACTGCTTGGCGACGGTACTATAATTCGGCCTTTTGTTTACATCACATCAGAGCAGCAACCCAAGCCTGTAGAGGGTGCCTCTGAGCACACTGACCAAGCACATGCATCACAAACTGAGATTTATTGGTTAGCTAAATAACGCGCCAGATTTAAGGTGTCCCAGTTTAAACAGACTTCTTCGTTCACTAACATTTAGTCCAGACTACCTTAAATCCGACAAGTTCTTTTGCTAACCGAGAAATCCAGCTTTGCAATACAGGCCTCAGGTCTACCGAGCCTCACCCACGCAGACACAGGAGAGCCCAGTCTCCTACCGTGTAATACTTGAGCTTTCGCTGGTGGAGATTGATGATGTTGGTGCACACGCCGTTCAGGAAGTCTTGAGAGTGAGAGATCAGGACGAGGATACGCTTAAACCTGTGCAGAGGACAAAGGCAGCATGGAGACTGACAGAAAATGCCAGCGAAGATGGACAGCAGTGGCAGCCAAAGCAGACTTACTGTTTGAGCTCCTCTTCCAGCCACACACAGGCGTCCAAGTCCAGGTGGTTGGTGGGTTCATCCAGCAGCAACATGAATGGCTTGATGAACAGAGCTCTGTCACAGGAGGCATGCATATGAGGGGTGGCCATTTTTGGAGGGATAACTCCACAGCCAGGGTGACGCAGGTCAGTCTACGCTTTCTCCCGAATTCTCATCGCTGCACCGCACTGAGAACGTACTGCTGGGCGGTGGCGCTCATCCGGCCTTTTATTACATCATATCCGCGCGCGACACTGTGGCCCCACCGCGAAAGGGGCGGAGTCCTCACCTAGCTAGGGCCACGCGCATGCGCCAGCCGCCACTGAAGTCCTTGAGCTTCTTGCGCTGCATGGCGGTGGTGAAGCCCAGGCCGTGCAGGATGCGGGAGGCGCGCACCTCGGCCTTGTCGGCATCCAGCTCCTCCAGACGCTCATAGAGCTCCATCAGTTTCTCGCACTCGGCTGAGGGGACACCAGCACATTTCATCGGTATGGTTCGGCAAAACCCAAACTGTACCTAGAAGGTCCAAGATGCCATCAGCTGTTAAGACATCAAACTGCATTAATTTAAAAAGATTATGACCAAAAATGAGTTAACACTGGAGGTGGGAATGGATTATGACCAGCAATTACAGGCTAGCTAAAAAAAAAGTTAGTGGTAAATATGTATGCTGACAACTTTCTTGATGGAAAGAGGGTAGAAATGCCAAAATTATAGTCACTGTAGACACACCACAGCACACAGTAAACAAAAAAATGGGTTCCTTGCACTTTATCTCTTCAGTTATATGACATTGTGACAGTGGGCAACTATTATTTAGTACTGGGAGAGCAGTGTATGGGGACGGTACCTTGCTGGTTGAGGATTCAAACCAGCAATCTCTCAATCACAAACTTGCTTCCCTAATCATTAGGCCACTATTGCACAGTAAATGTTCCTTTTCAAAAGTAGAATTCACACTTCTTGAAGAGAAAAGCAATATGTAGAACATTATATGTTCCAGAAGGCAATAAATCTAGAATGTCATTAATTAAATCTGAAGGCAGTAAAGGGACAATGTGTTTAAGTGACAACGTAGGCTGAGCCCAGTGCAGACTCACAGTCCTCGTGGGCCAGGCGCTCAGCCTCCTTCTCCAACTGGATCCTTTCCTCGTCCACTTCCATCACGCACTGCAGCGCCGTCTTCTCACTGGGGGCCATCTCTCGCGTCAGGTGGTAGATGTCAATGTGCTCTGGGATGGGGACTTCTCGGAGGCCGATTGCCGACAGCAACATGGACTTTCCTGAGATGGAGGGACGCGATTCGTTTATAGAGCGGCGCATTCAAGCAGCGGCCATTGTGAAGGGCGTCGTCATCTGGGGGGGCTTACCGGTGCCGTTGAGGCCGATCAGCCCATAACGGCGGCCCGAGTTGAGCTCCAAGCTGGTGTCACTGAGCAGCTCCTGGCCGTGGAAGGTGAGCGACAGACTGCTGATGTGCACGTCTGTGCTGTTGGGGTGGGATGCCAGTACGCCGGTCACTGCCCTCGCCTCGGTCTTCTTCAGCTCAAACTCATCCATCTCCTTCGTCAGGCTGGCTACCTCAGCTACAGAGAAAGCAAAGCCTGAGAGGAAGATCTGATCACTAGGGCGTTCAACCACCCCTGCTGGGACAAGGAGTCCTGGTGCTTCAACGCCAACTGAGTACAACACAAACCCATCATCCCTCAATCACTGCTGAATGCAAACCTGCCTGTCCTAGTCAAAGGCTGGAGTCAGGCAGACCGTATCTTAATGTACCCCGAGTGGCGAGTCTGTCTTACCACTGTCCAGTGCTCCGTTTTCCGGGCTTTCCGGGCTCTCCGGATCCCCGTTCACCTCATCTGGCTTCTTAGTGCGCTGGCGAGCCTTGGCGGCCTCCTTCTTCTTGGCGGCCTTCTTCTTAGCCAGATCAGACGGCATGGCTGCAGACCCCCAGGAGTATCCGACAAGACAGCAACCTAAGAAGCACATGGCTTAAAGTTCCGAGTATGGACACACGAGTGATCATCACTAACAGTAAAATTACCTCAGTTAAATACTAATAGGACAGGATTTGTGAGTATACCACTTTAAAGGGTTTACATACACTAAAGCGGCAGTATTAAGATTAAAATCAAACAAACAAATTTAAATATACAGATCGTCCGTTTATAAACACTTATTGAGCAAAAACCTCTCTTACATAAGAAAACAGGTTACAAACCGGCCCCAACAAAGGAGATACTTAACACGTGGTGACTCCATAGAAGCACCCCCCCCCCATTCTGGAAGCGATTCCCCCGTCGCCGTACCCTCTTCCGGACAGATCCCCTCCCCCACCCATGTTTGTAGCCATTTCAGGAAAGAACACCGTCCCCCCCGCCTTTCGGTTTCTGGACGCGGCACCCTCTTCCGGACAGACCCCCCCTACCGTGGGCGGCCGGCTTTAGGACGCTATGCGGGCCCTGGGGTCCCGCGAAGCGTAGGGCCGACAGCGGCACTAGGCCCGGCATCCATTTCGCTTTTACAAAGAGCTCCATTAAGCTCCACCTGAGCCTCAACGCAGCGACCGCGTACTCCACCAGACAAGTGCGGCCCGGAAGATCTGGGAGGGCAAAGCGGCACATGGAGTGGCACCGGGCCGGCCCGCATCCCCGCCACCCGCACCGCAGCGTGACAGACAGAGAGCTGCGCGGTTAACCGGCACCGCCTTACGTGTACACGGACGCTGACAGTACCTCTTCAAGACCGTAGATTTAGACAGAATAACGAATGTTCGGAAAGGGGATCGTAAAGCCAGTTACATGTTTCCACACCCCGATACCTTACCTTCCCTCTCGACTGCCGGCGATTCTGAGAAGGAAAAACCCGCACGGCCGCGCGTGTCTCTAACGCCGGGGAGGAAAATCTGATTGGTTTGCGTGCAGCGCGAGTCTGACATCATGCGACTGCTCGGCATTCTGGGATAGGTAGTCTTTCGTGATTTCGCTGCGGCAAAATCCGCTCAACGAAAACACAGTGCGGCATACCGAATACTGCAGGCAAAAGTTTTAAATGCCTTAAGCACACTGTTCCCTGACTTTTGTCTTTGCTTCGGTATTAAGACCACTTCATACATTTTTTTATGAAATCGTAGAAAGGTTCAATACACTACAGAACTTTTTTATTTATCTAATGGTTTTATTTATAACTAATGTGTATTATTAATATTAAAGTGTTTATAACAACAAATGGTTTACATACCAAATTGCTATTTTATACCATTTATAACATTTTTCGTGGAAAGTAATGTAAGTTGGGTACTGTGCCTGTGATCGGAAAGTCGCTATAGTTCAAATGCAAAGTGATTTCACTGTTCAACCCTTGAGCAACACCCTAAACCCCATTTGACAATTGCTTCAGTGATTGGTTGACCTAGTTTTCTCAATTATATGTCGCTTTCAATAAAAGCATCTGTTAAAAATAAATGTAAATATACACGTAAAATATTCATGTGTCTGGAATGTCCAGGGAGCTGGAGTGGGCATCTGGCATTTTCCCAGTGGTCTGATGAGTACATGGTGCGCGGCCAACAAAATTTATTTTAGCAAAATGTGTCACTCAGAAAAAAATAACATGGGAGACCAATGATAATTTACTGTGGGGTCATGGAGGGCCCCAAATTCCAGAGCCGTTGTTAAAGCCTAGTCCAGCCCTGCTGGAGTCTATACTACAGTATATTGGTACACAGCATATTACACAGGCCCACTGCAAAATTCACCAAGGGCAGAAGGACCCCTGGTAGGCAAACTTTACCCTATGCCCCACTTGATAACAGGCGATCATGCAAAATTCGCAACAACTGAATGAGAACCCTTCTCCCTGCGGACGAGAACTCTTTCCGATCAACCCCTCCCCCTGTCGCCCAACATCCCCGCGAAACCTCTCCTTCGCCCGATATTACACATGTATTCTCTTTCTCTGCACGAAAAACGGAAAGATGACTGTACTCTATTAGAAAAAAGAAAAACGTAGGACGGGCAAAAGTGTTAAAGCAAATGAAACCAGAGCTTCCATAGGAAAAGCACGCTGCATCACATCAAAGAGACACTAGAGAAATACAAGGCGGATGTCAAGCCAATGAACAGCGGGCTTGCTTGACCTGACTTCACTCCGCAGGACAGGCTTTGCGTAAATTGCGTAGCGCTCGATTATTTCCGAAGCGGTACAGTACTACAGTTCGGATACAATGTCGCTCATCTCGATTGGCCCGCCTTCTCTTTCCGTAAATTGCGCAGCACCCGGCTATTTCAGAGGAGCTGTAGTCCGGATACGGTGTGACCGCTCAGCTCGTTTCGTATCGCGTCGAGACTCGGGGCTTGACTTCGGATTGCCAGAAAGCGGTCTGGACGGGAGGCCGTGGTTTTCCGGACAGCGTCAAATAGGTGTTTTTTTTTATGTCTTGAAAATGGATAGACGTCGCAAGCGATAAAAATGACAACATAAATCGTAGCAAAGTACGTTTTTATTTTGAATGCTGTAGCTGTGTGTGTGTCGATGAGAAGGATTTAGTTCCAGATAAAATTACGATAAGGGATTGTTTACAGATTGCTGCTAATGAATTTATTCGTGATCGCTAAAAGTGATACGTCTGCTTACTGGTGAGGAACAAACCCCAGATGATCGCCGTCTATGCGATTTAACCTAAAATCGTTTAAAATGAAGAGAGTCTGTTTTACATAGACTGGCAATTTGCCTTAAATATACGTGGGCTTAATTATTTTCAGCCCGCTTTTCGTATTGCTGTTAGACAAAGTAAAAAAGAAATGAATAATAATAATAATAATAATAATAATAATAAATGCAGTTTACAATATCCGCTGTTAGAATAAATGAACATAGCTGTTTGTGTCGGAAAATTTAAAAAAATGTGTGACTGGTTCAGGGTAATATTAAATTCCTTTCGGACACCAGATCAGTCTGACTGTCCCATGAACTTTTTGCTGTAGATGACACATATGTGTGTGTAAATATAACGTGTAGATCACGATATGCTGTAAGAAGCGTCGGTTTTCTGCAGGTTGTCAGACCCTTAAAACATCTGTATGCATGAGACGTATACACATTTTAACCTGATAAAGGGCGAGTCTTGAGTGATTCCCAGCACACGATGTCAGCTGAGAAATCTTTGCGGCGTTTCATATCCGATACCTGCACAGGACGCACTGCACCGATCGACGCCAGGTATCCATGTCCCTGTTTATACAATGGACAGAGATTTGGAAGCTACTAAAACTACGCATTTTGCCCCGCATTGTTGTGGGTGAATTACTTTCGATTGAGCGGTCAGCCGTCCGCCCTGAAAGGACCCGAACACGTTTCCAGTACGTGGATAGGGTTTGCGCCATGCGGGTGTCCTCCCTCCTCGCAGCCTTCCGACCGGCGCTGCCCCTCATCCTGGGGCTTTCCCTCGGCTGCAGCCTCAGTTTGCTCATGGTTTCCTGGACCCAGGGGGATGCGGGCGATTCATGCGGGGATGAGCTGGGGAACCGTGTGCTGTTCCCCGGCGACCACAGGAGAGACACTGAGGGGGGTCTGGATGGGGATGCCGCAAACGAAGATTTCCAACCGCGGATTGTGCCCTATCACATGGACCCAAACAAGCCACACAAGAAAGTCCTCAGGCAAGTTCATGGAGCCAGTGTGTTGTGTTTTTTTTTTTTTAAAGTGCGTTTATTAGGGTATTGTGGATATCAGGGGGAAAGTAATATTCACTAAAAGGCCTTCTTGCCCATCTGTGGATAGTGTACCACTTTGGTAATGTGTTGGGACTTGTGGTGTCCTACTGTAATCATGTACAATAACGCAATATTGCCCTGTCATATGCAGCACAATATATTAGGGCTCTGTGGTTCAGGAATTCCCTGAGGAATTACAGTTTGATGCACATGCTGCACCGTGTCTCCTTGGAGACCATGAGTACGAACTGTATAGTCCCGTGTTCTGTACTGTGGAACAATCAAATAAACCTTTGAATAGAGATGACTATTTTCGATCTTTAAAGTTTCCATTTTCCCTGCAGGATCTGTGTCTTGCCTGCTCTGCCTGTCTCTCACCTTCACATGATTTTGCGATCCTCCTTCTGTCATCTTTTCTGCTTTGAGCTTCACTTGTCTGCTTGGTCACACTGAATCATTGGTCTTTTAATGGTTTACTGAGAGCTTGCAGGTATCTGTGCCTTGCATCCTGCTAAATGACGCTGAGCTGCCCCTTGACTACGCTTGCAGAAATCCATGCTCCTCTATCCTTTCGGGCCAGGGGCAGCCTGCAGCTTTCTGGGGGCAGTCGCAATGACTGCTCTACTTACTTTTAATAAACACTGGAAACTGTTTACGGCCTACTGCGATTTCTTTTATTTACCCCTTGCCTTACGTAAGGGACCCTGGAAAGTTCTGGGCCTTCGGCCCTGTGTGATGTAACTGAACCTATTTGTAGAACCATTTATCACTGGGCTTTTCATGCTACATGCCATGTAAACTATCTGAGGGTTCATCTCTAGCCCCTTGTCTGTCAGAGAGGCCCTAATGGAAATACGTGGACCACTGCAAGGATAACGCTATGATCTAAAAACCACAGTATATCAGAACACAATTTGGCTTATCAACAATAAGGCATTTGGGGATGGCGCAGAAATCATCAGCAATTGGCGAAAACAACTCCGTTCACCATGCCAGCGAATCATCAGCATCTTTCATTGGAGATTTATATCATGCAATTTGCATCGTGACCAGCATGTGGTTGGCATTAGAATGGCGCTTTAGGGTTGCTGATGGTGATTTATGCACCAGTTCACTCACAAATGCCTCACATGCACAGTTTGGTTCCAGGTCACTTCAGTGGAGATTACCATTATTTTGCCATTGTTGTTTACAGTGGATTAGTTTCCTCAATCGTAATAGCAGCGTCTTCTTTGCAGGACACGGTACATCCATACGGAGCTGGGTATCCGAGAGCGCCTCCTTGTGGGCATTTTGACCTCCCGTGCCACCCTCAACACGCTGGCGGTGGCCGTGAACCGCACCGTGGCGCATCACTTCCGTCGCATCTTCTTCTTCACCGGTTTGCGCAGCACCAAACTGCCACACGGCATGGCGGTGGTCGCCCACGGCGACGACCGGCCTGTCTGGCTCATGTATGAGACGGTGCAGCACCTGCACCAGCACTATGGTGCCGACTATGACTGGTTCTACCTGGCGCAGGATGACACGTACACGCACGCTGAGCGGCTGGCGGAACTGGCGGGCCACCTGAGCGCCGGGCAGGACCTCTACATGGGCCGGCCTGAGGAGTTCATCGGCGGTGAGGAGCGTGCCCGTTACTGCCACGGTGGATATGGCTACCTGCTCTCCCGCAGCCTGTTGGCCCGCCTACAGCCCCACCTGGATACCTGCCGCAATGACATCCTGAGCGTCAGGCCTGATGAGTGGCTCGGCCGCTGCATCATCGACTACCTGGGTCTGAGCTGCAAAGAGACCCACCAGGTAACCAGTGTTACTTTTGAGGGTTAAGATCAGATTCACGGCCTGCTCTTAAAATGTTTCTGAATCGTTCTGATCCTCGTCTGGCCTTACAACCACCATCTGTTTTATTGGGAATTTCTCAGGAGGGTTTTTAGTTCTTGGACATTTCAATGCATTTTTGTCTGCTAGTCCCTAATTACTCATTGTGTTACATTTGTCCTTTTGAAATAAGGAGAGGAACAAAACCAGCCCATTGTCGATCATGCTCTAACTCCTTAGACAGTTTGCCTTTGGGTCAATCTATGGATTAGAAGGACAACAATGTATCAATGTGGTTTTTGAGTTGTGAGGAAGTGTAAAGGAAGCATCTGAAATCCAGGAGCAGTTAAACAGACCTATATACTATACTATATACCAGGACTGCGGGACCTGTTCCATGGAGGGCCTGTATGGGTGTGGGTTTGTGGGATGACCTCTCAATCGGCCAATAATAAAACAGTGGTTCTCTACTCCAGTCCTGGGGACCCACCGTATTGGCTGATTGAGAGGCCATCCCAATAACCTGTACCCACCGGCTCTCCATGGAACAGCTTCCCCACCCCTGCTAAATATTATACCATACTATATACTGTATAGTATATACTATATATTATGCTATGCCGTGCTATGCTAAACTATGCTTACTGTATATAACTTACTACTGGATATTTGTAGAATCTGTATTGCATAATTTGTATTGTATAATTTTGGGTCATATTTGGGTGAGTTTTTTCACTAGAATGTTTTGATAGCTACAGGCTGTTGAGAAGGAATGCGATGACTGAACATCCAAACTGTGTGAAGTTAGTTCAGGTCACGTACGTGTGGTAAACACACTTGCCATTGGCTGTGGTTCAATCATTTTATGCATTCCAGATGTCTGGCCAAATGCTGCGAGCTCCAGCTTTTAAATCCTACTACTTGTGAACAATTCCACATGCATATCACGCCGTTATGTCCCTGCTGCTGTTTAGTGGATGTGATTTTTAATAGCATTGTGTCCTAGCAGAAAGTTTCCTTATAATAAAATGCATATCAGAAGCAGACCTGGGAACTTTAGTCCTGATACATTTTATTGCCCCTAAAGTGTGACCTTTAAAGTGTCTGCACATAAATGTAATATTACAGTGTTAAGTTCCCTCGTATTGTTGTTATTACAGGAAATGAAGTATCATTATTTTGAGCTGGGTAAGAACGCAGACCCAGAACGTGAGGACAGCCCGCATTTCAAGAACGCCTTCACAGTTCACCCTGTGTCAGAACCAGACCTCATGTATCGCCTACACAAACGCTTCAGCCAGATAGAGCTGGACCGGACCTACCTGCAGATCCAGCAGTTGCAGGTTAGTGCTTCGTCTCTTGGCCATGCAGTTTATATCTCCAGAGGAACGGCAATAACTCAACAGATCTCAGGACCTCCATGCATTATCTATTAGAGAAAGATTCTTTGATGTAACTGAGATCCATAGCTGTAATTTATAGTCAGTCCATTGCTTGAAGCTTGAGCACTATGGAAAGTCAGTATGTTGCTTTGGAAACCATGATTCTGTATGTCCTGGGCAGGTTCAGATCAACAATCTGAGTGAGCTGACCCCAGAGGGCAGGGCAGGAGCCACCTGGCCTGTAGGAATCAACCCCCCATTCAAGCCCAGGACACGTTTTGAGGTCATCAACTGGGAATACTTCACCGAGGAACACATCTACTCATGCGTTGATGGCGCTCCCAAGTGCGAGCTGCGCGGGGTGGACAAGGCGGACGTGATTGCTGTGCTCGAGACTGCAGTGGAGCACCTGAATGAGCGCTACCAACCACAGCTCCGCTTCCGCAAGCGCCGGCTCCTCAATGGCTACCGCCGCTTCGACCCCACACGTGGCATGGAGTACACTCTGGATCTGGCTCTTGAGGCCCTCACCCAGAAGGGCCACAGCCAAGTCATTGCTAAGCGTGTGGGGCTCCTCCGACCCCTCAGTGCTGTGGAGATCATCCCCATGCCCTATGTGACCGAGGCCACACGTGTGCAGGTCATCCTGCCCGTGACGGCCCGTGTACAGGAGCACGTCGGAAACTTCTTGGACATGTATGCAATGAACACTCTGGACACCCATGACAACGTGCTGCTCACGTTTCTCTTCGTCTATGACCATTTTGATGCCCAGCGAGTTAGCCAAACCGACGTATTTGCTGGGGTCAAGTCCTTGATTGGTGAGGTAGAGAAGCGCTACGGCGACGTGAAGATCCCATGGATTAGTGTGAAGACTGAGGTACCCTCGGAGGTCAAGCTCATGGACATCATCTCTAAGAAGCATCCAGTGGACACTCTCTTCTTTCTCGCCAGTGTGTGGACAGAGGTTAACGGCGACTTCCTCAACCGGTGCCGCATGAACGCCATCAGCAGCTGGCAGGTCTTCTTCCCCATCCACTTCCAGGAGTACAGTCCAGCCATCATATACCGTGACCAGCAGCCATCGGCAGCTGCCTCGTCCTTTGCCTCTGAGGGCCTTCGGGATGGTCACTTCGACCGGCATGTCTTCGAGGAAGCCTGCTTCTATAACGCAGACTACATGGCCGCCCGCTCCAAGATGGCAGCCGACATCTTGGACAATGACGAATTGCTAGAGAACATGGACGTCTACGAGGTCTTTGTACGCTACTCCGGACTCCATGTATTTCGGGCCGTGGAGCCGGCGCTGGTGCAGAAGTACGTGAGGCGGGCCTGTAACCCACGCCTCAGCGAGGACATCTACCACCGCTGCGTCCTCAGCAACCTGGAGGGGCTGGCTTCCCGATCCCACCTGGCTATGAGTCTCTTTGAACAGGAACAGGCAAACAGCACTTAGAAAAGACTCTGCCAAGTAGAGAAGAGAGCAGAGCAACATAAAGCTTATCACACACAGCGTTAAACGTTAAAAATTTCATGGACTGCCAATGTATGAAAAGTGCCAAACACTGCAAAGCTTTCATTCTCATTATCGGTATTAATGTTACCTGACTTGGGCTGTCTTTGAGGAATCTATAAAGCAAGTTCAGGAAATATTATCACATCAATAACTTGTTTTATGTTTTTATTTAAATTTTATTTTTTTTGCATATTTTATGCATCTTGCTGTGGCTACAGCAGAGTACCCTTAGCCCAGTGTACAGCTGAGGGTCAAAAGTCAGCAGATGACCTTTCCAAGTACTGGAAACCAATTTGGGTTTGTGCAGGGATTTTTATACATACACATACACGCACGCACGCACGCACACGCACACGCACACGCACACACACACACACAGAGTGATCCCCCGCTATATATCGCAGTTCAGCTATCGCCCCTCCTGCTATTTCGTGGATTTTCCCACGACCCGTCACAGTTCTCTGCGTATCGCGTACCTTGCTTGTGGTCCGATTATTTTTGTTTAGTTTTAAGCCCTATAATGGCTCCCAAGCGTCCTGCATCTTCTAAGACTTCTGGCAGTAGTGAGCCTAAACTCCAGCGCCATTCAGGAGAAGGTAAAACTCTTGGATATGCTTCAGGAAGGAAAGCGTTACGCAGATGTCACTCGCCATTATTAAAATGTTCTTATTTTTACATATTCTATTACGTATACAGAGAGAGAGAGATGTGTACACACACACACACACACACACACATATATATACATATATATACACATACATACATGTTACATATAATTTTTTATGTTACTCATTTCCTTAGCTCAACATCCACATAACATATGTGTTGTTTTAATAAATTTACATGTGTTTAAAGCGTGTGTGTGGGGGGTGGGGTACTTTAAGGCTTAAACCATAAAAAATGTTTATTTATATGGTCTTTCTATATCGTGGATTTTCACCTGTCGCTGATGGGAACGCATCTTCCGCGATAGGCGGGGATCACTGTGTATATATAAGTTTTAACCTGTTTTTCAGGTTATAAGGTTATACAAGGCACAAGTTACACATTGTTAGTAATCTACTCAAACTGAGGAGATGGAAAACAGGCTGGTCCTCTGTGTGTTTATTTTAGGGTTATCAGAAATACCACAGGGGAGGTGCCTTAATGTACCAGGAATTAATCTAAAATGGCTATCAATTTGTCCTGTAGGAGACCCCCTGTACCTACTTTCATTGAAATGTTTTACATTCTTTAGCCCAAAAAGGCAGAATTGTACATTTTACTTGTACAATCGCTCCTCTACTTGCGAACGAGATACGTTCTGAACGGCCGTTCATAACTTGAAATGTTCGTAAGTCGTCATTCAACATCATTTTAAGGGTATGTGCAAGTACAAATAACTAGGATGCTGGGAGTACGCACGCTACGCTGCTGCACGGCGGGAGTAGAGGCCAGAAGTCGTACTAGGAGGAATTGGTGCGCAGAAAAAACAATCTATGTTGCGGACAGGAAATAGGAGCCCAATGAGCATAATTTGGACTTACAGTCCTCTTCGTTTGAACGTCTGAAAGTTTGTAAGTTGAAAGTTCGTAAGTAGAGGAGCGTCTGTACTCTTCCAGTTTCAGTAGATTAGACATGTGGACAGCAGCTACATTTGCCTGCAGGAGACGGGTGACCGTGGATGCTGTATGACAGATATGTCTGTTGTGCCGGGGTCTCCCATGATTTTCTGAAAGTCCATGTGCATGCAGGGTGAATAGCTATGAATTGATTTAGGGTCTTTTGTTTATATAGCCGATACATCTCAAATGGAAGATCAAAGACCCACAGAAGCACGGAGGAGCAGTGTCCTCTTGGTACGTCTTCCCTATCCGATCAGGGTCACTGTGATCCAGAGCTTGAGCTTCTCTCGCTGAGCGCAGGGCAAACGGTGGGCAGGCCGCCAGCTCCACGGTGCAGCTCCAGCATGGAGCTCCAAGGGCAGCTCAGTCACAGCTCCTCCTGTCCCATGTGTCTGGACTATGGGATAAACCTACAGTAGCTTGGTGGGGGATGTAAGGTCCCAGCACCAGCCACCGTGGCGTCCTTAGAACTTCACCCCCAAGGGTGCCTCAATCTAGTCTCTTCACACACCATTTCTGCTGGAAAAAACCAGCTGTGTCTGTGTGAGTTTACGCATTTCACATATTTGTTTAAAGGAGATTTAATTCACAGCACAAAATGGAACATCAGGCTCAAGAACAACAGTACAAACAGAAGAAACGTTGCATATGTCCAGTTTGTCACAAGTAGGACGAATGGTTCTTGGGAAGCGGTGGTCAGGCATCTGGGTCCAGGGTACAGAAGGGTACTATCCCCATTTTGTTACACTGCCCCAAGTCCCCTGGATTGTGACGGATGACTCCTCAAAAAAAAATAAGTATCCCACTGTGTTTTTGCAGTTGGCTGCACAAACCTGCTAGACCTAGTTAAGCCAAATGAGTTTTATGTAGTTCAAGGACTTGTGCTCTATGTCCTGATGCAGCTGGTAACAACACATGGGAGTCCCATTGTTACCATATTTCTCGGGCGTCCTTCAAACAGGGACCACAGTGGACACGGGGGATTGGCAACATCAGGCAAACATCAGGTCAGCATGTCACAAACAAGGCCAGTGTTCTTTTTTTTGGTTGTATGTTAGCCTCTATCTTAAAGGAGCTAAGCTAGCTTAGCCTGTGAAGCAACCAAATGGCTGGTTTTGCTGGCTTCTACCATTTCTGTAATATTTCTGATTCAGCTTGAACCTGCTGCCTTTGGCAAACACTGCATTTATTTACATCCAAGCTGCCTCAAAATGTCCCAGCTTTATTACTGAAGACCTTTCAGACACAGCGTCTTACATGCTTTCAGCTGTACACTACAAGAAAACTGCAAGAAGAAGAGCACATCTCTGTACTATGCAACTCAAGCTTCAGTAGGACGTCATTACCTGGCCTTCAGACCACAGGTGGTCTAATCAACCTTGAGTGGTAAGCCTGATACAGAACAGTTAAATCTATGGTCTAGTCCCAGGAGATGTTAGGATAGTAGCTCCACCAGACATCTTGAACATGCACAAGTCACTGAGTCCCTGATGATATAAAAGGCTTCATCATCTGGGAAGGAACATGTTCGTCTTAGCCAGTTGTAGAGGTCTGCTAGTCCTTAAAAAGACCACTGGATTCCAAGTTGGAAATCCACAGCTGCCATGTGGCTCAGGCTCAGTCAGGCTTGCTGATCTTCGCATCTCATAGTCATGCTAAAAACGTTCTTGTCCTTTTAAAAATATAAAATGGCGTCCATGCGACATGCATAGATTCTTATAAAAACAAACATTAGTAGAAGTGGGTTTTTTTTTCCATTTCTGAGGACTAGCCCCCCCCCCCCCCAATATACATGTAAACAATACATTTCTACATAGAGTACAAGGTTATGATTGACAGCAACAACAGATCACATACTGGCTACAGTCAAGGCACCACCCATTAGTTCACTAAATGAAAGTAAAATGGGTTTAAGTGCCAGCAGCTCACCAAAAGCCATTGGGAGAAACTCTGAAAATCATCATCACATTCTTTTTTCTTTCATCCCATTTCCATACTTTCTCCTTTTTGGAACAAACCTGAGTAATTTGAATGAAACTGTGTAAGAATCTGTTCATCCCTGCGAGTGAGGCTCAGAGCCACACACATGAACTGGAATGTTTTAATATTCATGTGACGCCACACGCAGACTGCACAAGGATAGCTGAATGTTACAGTCAGGATCAGACAGGTCTACAAAAGTGATGTGCCCTATCTCAAGATGGATCACAAGTGATGAACTGGCTACAGTGCATGAGGAACATCTACTTGAAGATCTGTATTCAGGTTGACAAAAGCCCTTTTTGGGCATCCAACAACTTCACACCTTACTGAAATATATAACCCTTCCATCCATCCATCCGTTCATCCTTACCAAGGTTGCAGACAGATCCATCGGTTACACATTTATAAAGCACTGGAAAAAAACACTGATATTAAGAAGCTGCTGCATGCAGGGCCCTGGTAATGGAGCACTAACGTGCAGATACACTTTCCAGTCTTTCTTGCTGGTTCTGCATTTTTACATTCTGGTATTCTCTCTGACTGATACCAGTACAGTCATGCTCAAAACAAAGCCTAATTTGTCCAAGGATCTGCCAGACATTCTGGACCAGAGGAAATAAGTTAGCCAATGAACTTTAGATGCCATGTTGAACTGCAATGCCAGCAGAAAATCAATCAATATCATGACATATTTGGACTGCAAAGTCTAGTGCCAAACCAGAACCTCATGCAAACACATCTAACAACTCCCTGTTTCACCAAGTACCCTTGGAAATGCAAATACTCCAAATATCTGTGGTTAGATCACATTTGCTGGTGAGTCCTATTTAGCTGGTGATTGCTTTCAACTCTACTTGTAGGGTAAACCAAGAAGGTTGTAGTTTGTATTACCAACTCATCCAACCAATTAGCAGATTGGATGAACTGCTCAGTACAGAATCGCAGGTTCATATGTGAAACATATTATTTGCTACCCTTCTAGGTCTTTGTCTGAATAACACATTACTTCATACATTCATATGTAATAAACATACTAGCAACGGTAATAAAAAACAATATGACAACTGAGTGGTAAAAGACATTTTGAACATTTTTTCATCCTTCCTTTTGTATAACAGATGAAATAAACAACAATAGTCTGTTAAATATTTTAGAAATTCATAAATACACAAATATATGTCATACACACAGTGTCCATATCTACTTTGGGTACCTAGATGTCATCTTCTCTGACAGTAATGAAATAAATGACCAACCAAACACACAATGACACACCAAACAAATGACTAAACAAACATTCAGTGACACACTAAACAAATAACCTACCAAACATAAATGACACACTAAAGGAATGACCTAACAAACATACAATGACAAATGACTGGGCATCTAACAATTCAATCAAATTAATAACCTGTTGAACATACATGAAATCAAACTATCAATAAACAATCATGGACACGTGTGTTGCAACCAAATCAATGAGCTGCCGAAATGTCTTTGGCAAAATGTAGCTTGAAACAGGTTAATTTCAGGGTCTACACTTCAATCGTGAGCCACTTCCTGGGTTTCATCTGCTAAGAAACGGAGACAAGCTACATAAGGAGCTGAGTGTGTCTGCAGGCGGTTGTGTAGAAACTTTCTTCAATAAAACGGCAATTCTTCACTGAAGAAGCACCTACTCTTAAAAGAGCTCACAGTCTCACAGTCAACGCTGAAGGTGATGAATGAAGTACATTGTGTGCAGCTAGCAAAAAGCTCGACAAAACCTTCTTGACATCCTGCATGTGACTGCATGGGATATTTAATCCTGCTCCTTGGGAAGAGGTCTTCTCATCATCCTGAATTTGAGCCCTGGACAGACAGCATGGTGGCTCCACTAAACAAGCTATGAATATTTTTCTATAACTATTACAAGACTGTCAATAAATACAGTTCAGTGAGTGGTGTTTTATTTTTGGATGATGGCTAAAACAATAATTGCATTGAGAGTCCAGGGTTGCAAAACAGGTGCGAATGGCTCAGTATTGACAGTGTGGCTGTATTGAGAAGGTGGCAGCCCACTGACTGGAGGTCACTAAAGTCACTTGCCTTCACAATCCAAGCTGGGAACCTAGTAGCATTCATTGGGGGGTGGGGGGGTTATGGATCTCAGCACCCACAAGTGGATCAGATCCAGGGAGAGTTTATGTCCAGGCTGTAGAGCCAGTTGGTGGTTGTTAAAAAAAGATCAGATATGCATTAGCCAGACATCAAGAGATTGTAAAAAATGCTGGCTCGATGTGTAAAAGGTGGAACAGGATGGTGCTGGCCTATGGTGGGGATCTGGCGTATAAGAGAAACAGCAGGAATATCTAACAGTGATTATGACATCTTCTGACTTAATCTAGGACAAAAAAGGGCCAAAATAGGCCAAATGTGTGGCTGTATTCTGCCTACCAGGGGTCAAGGCAATGGAAGAACATGGAGACCAACAAATGAACAGAGGTGGAGGCTGCACTGGTGTCTAACAGAAACAGTATGTGGGACGGGGACATGAGTAACAGGTTTAGGTGTTGCGGCCAGCCAAGGTCTGCTCCAACTCCTGCCTTCGCTGTTGGATCTGTGGAGGAAAGTGAGAGGATACTGAAAATTCAGGATGAACCCTGATGACAAACTGTACTCCATACTGGGCAGCTAATCTCATCTCACTGACTGTTAATTAGGTTCCATGTGATTCTCACCTTGCAGTAGAAGTAACGGCTAACGGCCTCTTGTGACCAGGGCTGGTAGTAGAATTCAGCTCTCCTCTCTTCCTCTGGGCTCCCCACTATGTCAGTCATTGCCTACAGCAATACAGTACAGTACTACAGTAAAGAACTGCCCTGAACATGTGACAGCAGATCTGCAGTGATTCCTGAATCACTGTACAGAAGACCCAACATACTGTAGCAGCAAACTTTCTGGTTGGAAACTATGGCTCTGTGGTTTACATATAGTCAAACACTGAACACACCTTCAAGTCCCGGCTCTGGGATTTGAGCCAGTCTTGAATATAACTTCTTGGGTCCTTGGAGAAGCTAAGCATGAAGTCCCTCTGGATCTTCAGCTGGTTTATGGATTCAATAGTATCATGGATCTAGGCAAAGAAAAAGACAGAGCCAGGTAAACAGACAGTCATGTTCAGTAGACATCATAGAACTGTCTATAAACACCACCAAGATTAAGGTCATAATACATTAAACAAAGCCATTTATGGACTAGTCGAAGCAGGCTGGATTAGCCCGACTTCACTGATACATTATCTTGGTCCGTTTGAGGTCAAGGACGAACCAGACACATTCTAAAGACATGGAGAAAAAAATCTGTGTAACCTTGTTGTCCAAGGATGCAATCTCCTGCTGGTTAGCCGTAGAGAGCAGGAAACTGCTCATCTGGCTCTTCAAAGGATCTTCCACCTCAACATCAATGTCATAGCAGGCAGTCTTCTTTTGGTCATTGGGGTCCACACTGTCAGGTACAGGGTAAGAACTCTGTGTGCCACCTTAACATAACACTACAACACTAATATATGTCCAGCCTTAAAGGCAATGACTCCTGGCATGGTTTATTCCGACTATGATGTCATTCATGCATAAAAGTCTATTATACCAAGGTTACTCAAACTCTCTGGAACAAAAGCTCCTGCCTCTCTTCCTCAGGGGAAACTTCACTGCTTTCAAACTGCATAGTGCTAAATACATAAAGCATTTGCCCCTCAATCCATGATTAAACAATATTAATTAAGAGTTTTTCTTTTTTCCTAAAATTGCTGGGTAATTAGGCCATGCTAATGAAGAGCATTACAGCAGTGCCAACTGGGACATGATCATCGCTTACTTCAAAAAAAGTTGATTTGTCTGCTCCAATATACAATCCAGTGTGGTAACTGTGCTCTGCATATCCATATTCAGCTGTGAACCTCAGTCACATGCAGGACCTGCTTACCTGATGACGTGGTTGATGACAATGGGGTCAGGGGGCAGAAGCAGGTTGGTAAGACGTTGGGGGATCTCCGAGAACTTGAGACGCAGGCAGTCGAAGATCTGCAGCAGGTGTCATAGTGAGTTGGGGTAACTGAATCAAACTGAAACTGAAACTGAAACTGAACTGATAATCTGATGCCCCACCGCCTACAGCTTTTGTTGTGTTGTATCCACTGTGATGGTGAGAGTGATGAAGGGGTACCCTACCTGCTGGAAGTATTTGTCACAGTTGATGTACTCCTTGTCGTGCATGTCCTGGAGCCTGTTGGTCTTGACATACTGCCAGAGGGCCTGGATGATAGCTGAGCGGGTTTGGGTGTGGATTCCCAGCAAGCGAGCCAGACGCGGGTCCAGCTTGAACTGCGGGGGCTGAGAGGGACACAGCAGCGTTTAGGGTTTCCGTGATATTTGTACCCTCTACTAGCAATATCTAAATTAAATACCACCAAACAAATCTTAAAAAATAAATAAATAAATAAAATTAAACCAACTGGGATAGAGTGAAAGACGGGAATGACTAGTCACATTAGCCAAATAAACCTCCAGAATGATTGGTAGCCCATAAGGGTAATGCTACAGACATTGATCCTATAAGGCCTGACCCCAAGACCATCTGTCAATCTGTCCATCTTCTAACCTTTTATTGAGTACGAAGTTCTTCAGGAGCCTTCAATAGCCACTGACTGAAATCAGTTTATTTATTTTAAAATAACAATTGTTAAACCAAAGTGTTGCACAAAAAAAGAGAATTAAAACTAAAAAGACATACTGAAGCATAACATTAACTATTTGACAAAATAAATTGACATGATTTAAAAGTAATAATGCATAACGGCACATTTTAATTTAATAAAAAATTTTGATAGTAATGAAGACAGATCAACAACGTTGAAATAGAAAACTACTAAAACTATTAAAACATTAAAAACTAAAACATCAAACAGACCCAAATGCTAAGGAGCAAAAGGAGTTTTAAGCCGTAATTTAAAAGTGGTAATGCAGGGAGACTGGCAACACTGGAGTGGCAAGCTATTCCACAATTTTGGGCTTTTTAGATTGGTCCTTAGGATTGACAAAAGCATTTGGTTAGAGGATACAAGCAACTGAAGAGTGTATGAAAATGAATGAGATTAGAAAGGAATGAATGTGCCAGACCATGTAGGGCTTTGAAAACAATATGCTTGCAGCATATTGCACAAGCTGGAGGTGGGACAGGGAAGATTGAGAAATGCCTATATAGAGAGAATTGCAATAGTCCAAGTGGGAGGAGATTAAGGCATGACTGACTCTCCCCAAATCCTCCAATGAAAGAAGAGGCTTGAATTTAGCAATAGTTCTGAGCTGAAAACACTTCAAGGGAATTAAATAGAGCCATGAAGGAGGAGCAGTTGTCAGGTTTCAGTGGAAGATAAAGATGCATATCATTTGCATAGAAGTGATATGAATTAGTATGTTTTTGAAAGACAGAGCCTAAGGGGAGCATATACAAAGAAAACAGGAGAGGGCCTAGAATAGATCCTTGAGGAACACCACAGCTAACTGGAGCTGCCAAAGAAGACTTATAGCCAATCTTAACTGTAAATTTTTAAGACAGGAAATGAGCTAGCCTAGGGCAGTACCCTGAATCGCTATTACAGAGTCGGTCTGCGGGGAATATCATGGTCGACTGTGTCAAAAGTCAAAGGTAGGATTCAACAGAATCAAGTCAGCAGAGGAACCAGAGGCAACAGACAGTAAGAGGTCATTTGATACTTTAAGTAGTGCAGACTCAGTGCTACAGTATGTAAAGACCTAAAGCCTGACTGATACCTCTCCATGATGCTATGCTGGCTGAGGCAGGAAGACAACTGGAAAAACACAACCTTTTCCATAAATTTGGATAGGAATGGCAGGTTGGAGATTGGTGTATAATTGTGTTGTATTGTAGGGTCCAGGTTTTGTTTTTTTAGTAATGGGTAAACCGCATGTTTGAAATAAGTAGGAACTGAACCATGTGCAAGGCAGCAACTAATTATGGGCAAGATCACTGGGCAAATGGTGGGCAAGGCCTCTTTGTCTTGGATTGTATATAAACTGCATGGTGTTATGCAGATATCCAAGGCTGCAGGACATTCTCTAGTGAGAATAAGTGAAGGTGACCCCTTTTACCTATACTCAAAGTCATAAAAATTTAAAATTAAAATCCCAAGGCCCTCTTGCACCCTCACCTGGTAGTCAAGCATCAACAGCAGAGTACAACGCACGCTCACATCGCCCGGCCGTTTGACCTGGAAGCCGTCCGTCTCCTGTGTGGTTGGGGTGCGGTGCCACTGCGTAAATAACACAGACCTACACGTCAGGATCCATATCACTGGTCACAACACCAGAGGGGTGTTTTGGATCTCAAGGGAGGAGCCTCAAATCAGCGATGAAAAAGGCGTTTTTGGTGTTAAGCCTTCGTGTAAATCTGTTACAGCAGGTTGATGCTATTCATCTCTTGTATCAAGGGAGAGGTTAAAAGCTTCATTAGGGAGGATCACTTGCAAAGACACCAGCAGTTCCTTTAACAGCATCTGCTATAGTTACTGCAAGAACCTCTCCTGCTGGCAACCTGCTCAGTTTAATCGGACACACAGACATCAGAAGGTGGTGAAAAACTTTGGGACATTTGGCATAAATAAAGGCAAAGTCCCCTATCATTGGGTCACTGTGACATCACCCTGGCAGCTGATAGGTGAAAATGCAAGTAGCAGAGAGTGTTCAAATGCGGTGGTGAACAGATGAGGGGGAACCAGCTGATTGCACCCATGAGGACCTGGCACAGTGTCTAGGACCTAAACCAGCTTGTGTCTGCATCCTTTTAACAAGGTGGCAAAGTGGTCAGATCGCCTGCTGTGAGAGCATCTGACAGCACACAGCCAGAGCTCCTAAGGAAAAACTGAGGCTGCATTGGATTAATGACGACTGGAACAAACCACACCGACACAGCTCCTCAGAAGCAGCTGAAGAAGAATTATACCAAGTATGGAAAAACAACAAAACGGCCTACAGATTGGAGGAGATCTACCAAAGAAAAGTACCAAAAGTACCAAAGAAAGTGTATAATCCGTCTCACAAATTCTCTTCAGATTACAGTAAAGATCATTCTAGATAGATTCCACAAAGTCCTATTTAAAAAAGGACTGTTGAATGTACAATTGGGTGCCCTTAAAAATGAAAATTTGAAAATGCAAGTTCTTTTGTTATCTTATATAAGCAAACATTTTCTGATGATTTTTTTGATGATTTTTGACAAGGTTGCTGAAGCAGCTCTAGTAGCTAAAGCCTAGTTGAGTCATCCAACATCAGTAATACTTGTTAATCTCTCATTTCATTCATTTGATTGTTATTTTTCTGTGGTCATTTTCTTTTTTGTATTTCTTAATGTTTGGTTTATTTAAATTAAAAACAGGCCATGAAAAATACCGTTATTAAAAAAATCCAGGTAGCAATCATGCAATAAGAACTTTTTAAAATAATGCCTTTTGTTGTTCTTAACTTTCGTCACAAATTTAAGTTTAGCATATTTTCAAATTTTTACACGGTGTTTCATTTGATCAAATTTCATGATTCTTGATTTAATTTTTTAGTTAAATTGACCAAACGTTAAGAAATATGATAGAGAGCATGCTTGATGCCAAACCACAAGAAAAATATGATGTTTAACACATTTTTGCTAACAATCATATGAATGACCCAAGAGATTAACAAGTATTACAGACAGTGGATAACTCATCTAAGCCTTAAAAAGCTTGACTATTCGACTGTAGTGTCAATTTATTGATGGCTGATTACAAATTCACATTGTTTTGTTCTTAATTATTTCTAAAAAACTGTTTTTTACAGGTAAACAAGTAAATATTCTTTGTTGCTGTAGCCATTTTCAGTCTGAAATTTAGTATATTTTGATAATTTACATTTACAGATTTTGATCATGTTGAGCAGCCTCTAAACATCAGTAAAACTATGAAAAAAAAGACAGGAATACAATCCTACAACGCATCACAAGATAAAAGGGTGAGTGCATGAAAAACAGCCATTTTAAAATTTGACTCATAGTTAAGGACCACCCTAATGTACACCAAGGAACAAGAGACGTCACTGCTGACAGATGCTGGATAATCAAATAAAACACGGAAATACTGGAAAGAAGTCAATGTTAATCACAACACAGCCTTTGACAACAAAGTTGACCCTGTCAAACTATGGAATTTTCTCAGGAAAATATGTGTAGCAGAGCATCTCACTGACCTTATGAAGAGTCTCTAAAGCTTGGAAATATCGAGTAACTGTCCGGTTCCGCAGTTGTAAAGCAGTTAGATAAGACTGCACAGTATTATCATTGCATTGCCATAGTACTACCACACCTATTGAACTTGCATACACAGCATACTGTATAATAAGAAAAGCTGAGCTGGAAGATGACTGTGGACTCAAGTTTGGTGGAAGAAATATCAACAATATTCTGATTATACCACACTTACAGTAGAAAATGAAGATCTAAGGACACATAGAAGAAAGGACTGAAAAGGTGGAACTACGACTAAACAAAGGTTGTGACTTCAGGAATGGCAACTAATTAACTGTGGACGATGAAGCTGGATTCATCTCTCGACATATCTCTAAGAACTAAGATCAGACTTGTTCAGAATATGCTTTGTAGGTCACAAAGGCAATAGCGGTTATGAAGATTCCTTTTTAGACAAATGTGACCAAGTACTCACCTCCACCAGGTGGTTGTCAGGACCATAAAGGTCTTTGTCAAGTTCAATTACCAGGCTTTTGAAGAAGGAGGAGAACTTCCGCTTCTGCTTGCTGGGCTGGTAGAGAGAACAGAGGTTCAGGACTGAGCATTCACAACCACAATGGCAGGACAGACGGCATCAGAGTCGTCCTTATGGGCAGTGGTGTCTTAATGGTTAGGGAAGCACACTTGCAGTTGACCAGCAAGGCACCACTGAGGTACCCTGAGCAAGGTACCACCCCCAAGCACTGCTCCACCGGGCGCTGAATTAGCTGCCCCATGCTATGTCACGATGTCACATATGGATAAATGCCAAGGACACGTTTCGTTGTTGTGCACTGTGTGCTGTGGTGTGTCAACAATGACCACTGATCACCAAATTCTAATTAATTCTTATTCTGGTGTAAACAATCAATGCGAATGAATCTCTTTGACTGTAGACCTGAGCTCTACCCATGAAGACCCTGAGGGTCATGAAGATCTGCTGAAGGCGGCCCCTGGTCCTTACCAATGAATGTCTTTGCCTCAGACCTGTGTCACATGTGGTCCTATATTAAAGCATGATTAAAAAGACTGGGACTGCCTTACTCCTAATGTAAGGGTTAGGGTTTTGTGTTAGGGGTCATTTTGTGTGTGTCATGACAAACACAGGCTTATGGAAAGGCTGACTGCATTTGAAACACAGCTACAGTATTGTCACATGTGTCACAAATGCCTGGATGAGTCAGTGTTCCCTTGTCGCGAGTCCCAGTGTACACTCATTTCACCGGCCTGATAAATGGGACACAGTGGACTCACATCATCCAGAAGTTTGCCCTCGACCCGCAGCTCCCAAGAGGCGATGCCACCATCCGAGTCCTCGGCGTCCGGCTTGGCCGGGTTGTAGGTGTTGGAGATGTACAGCCTCAGCTTGCGCTTTTGCTGTGAAAGCAAGGCCAGCATCACCATGAGCCTGTGAAGGTCCTGTACTGCTACTCAGACCATTGTGATCAGGCCTTTGACTGTGACCCAGTGAGTGGGACACATGTATTTACTCATGTCATACAGAAAATAAACTGTGATGTCAGCACAGCACAGAATGTTCGGTAACTTAATGGTTTATCAAAGCTAGGGATGACACCAGAGGTTAGCATGACAGACCATGATCAGCGTTACCTTCATTGGTCTCTTTAAAGCTTCCTGAATGTCCACTCGCTTTCTCATAATGGTTTGGTCCAATTTGCGTTCAAAAGCCAGAAGATCCATGTAGGCCTGGGATTCTGGGACCAGCTCACGAATCTGAAGTTCAAGAAATGAAGTATAGAAGAAGTAGATAATACATACCACTCTTCAGAAAAACAGTCTTCTCTACCTGACATTTTGTCTGAGCAACTCATCTAAAAGCAAAAGGAGATAAATCTGAGAGAACGTGGGATTCAGACACGGATGACATCATCCAGCCGGAGGTTTCACATATTATGGTAATCCTACAGTTACCAGGAAGTTTCCAGCATTCCAAAAATCCCTCTCTCTCGTGAGAACGGAATTTCAGCACATTACATCACCCTGAATCATAGCACTTTGGAGCTGAATGCAACAACAAAGTCTTCCGCTGCCCAGACCATGAGGGTGTACATATGCAGTAGTTTCTCAAAAGTACCACTGAGTTTCTCTCTGACTGAAATCGCTATGAGGAACAGCAAACCTAGTTTCAATCAGAAGAGCTTCCTCACACCACCAAAACAGCGACATCCTACTGGAGATACAATTAACGACATACCCAAGGCACGGCGTGCAGGGATGGTATGGCTACTGATGATGCCCTCCAGAGGCACATCAGATACAGCTCTGTAATCAGAGCTGCCCCCGCTGGTCTGCTCTCTGTCTACCCCTCGTTCCCTTCCCCTGAAATCCTCTTTGTGCCCCTGGATATCTGTGGGCCCAGGGTGAGATGGCAGCAAACATGGTATCCAGTCACAGGGAGGCGATGATGCGGGGAGTCGGCGATGGCGACAGGCAGGCAAAAACTAAACAGTCTGATGTAGCTCAGCTTCTGCCTCCTGAATAAAATTACAACACGCTGGGGGGGGGGGGGGCGAGTTTGCAATCATAAGGACAACAAGAGGTCTGCACGTCACCCCACGGTGCCTCTCACCACGGGCGCATTCGAATGAGACACCACTGAGCCCCAAAAGAACACCCTGCATCCAGAGCAGCCCCCCTCCCCCTCAACCCGGACCTGGGAAGAACAGCCTTCTCCAGTTTAGAAGCCCCCCAGCCACCGAGTGCCCAAGACACCTGCCCCACCCATCCCTCAGCCCCCCATCCGGCAGCCCTTTCTGACTGCCATGCTCAGCCCGAAACGGAACGCTAACCCACCGCGTGCGTCCACCTGGTCTTCGCGGCCCTGGCACCCCGCTCAGAACCCCGGCCGGAAGGAGACGCGACCCCGCGATGCATCCGGCCACCGAGCCGGCACCCGGACGGACGCACACAAGCAAACAATACGGCGCAGCAAGAGGAGCGGCTTACCCTCTGAGGCAGGATCTTGTCTGCCATTTTCCTTCTCTTGGCACTATGGAGGGGGAGAAGGACAGAAGGAAATAAATAAAAAAGAGCACGTTACTATGGTGACAGATAGCAGAGTGCACAGGCCATCTGCTAAATTACTGGGACGCGTCCAGATATTGTTCCCAGCTGTTTGCGGGTCTCCAGCGAGGGCGTGGATCTGAGCGCGGAGGGACGGGCAGCGGCTGGGACTCACGCTGCTCCGCCAACGGGAGGGACCTCAGCCGGCCAATTTATTCTCACTTCTGCATGGAGCCTCCTCAATTTGGATGGATTTCTGGGCTGGTGTCTGCAGTCATGCGTGATGCTGCGTGTGTGTGTGTGTTGTGCGCGTGTGTGTGCGTGTGTGCGCCCCTGCCACCTTTTATTCAGTTTTCCAACGTTTCACATTTGATCAGCTCAAGCCCCCTTAACTGCCAGGTTTTGGTTGATCCCGTTTCCAGATCCCCACCCCCCCCCCCAAGCTGAGCCCCTCTTTGCCCTCTTTAAATGTACCCAATCTAACAGTGCGTCACGCACATCGATCCGGCCCCCTGAACGACGGTATTCGGCGCGGGAGACCCGCCTCCCCCCTCCATGTGAGGCAGAAGCGCACATCTTGAAGTCGATGTGCTGAATGGGAACGGACAGCCAGACCAGCCAACATATATCACGGAGGACAAGGAGCTGCTGTTGGACCACAGAGCCAGTATCACAGCTGACTGGTGAGCGATTTTAGGCTTCCCACGTATTTCCATACTAGATGTGCAAGCAACTGCTTGAGCTGCTAATGAGGTACGTAATGTTAGGATATGGTCACTGCAAACACTGTCCTCCAGAGGTCGTGGGCATGGGGAGGCCTCTTCATCCCGGGTCTACAGCTGCCTCCGGCCACGCCAGTGGGACAGGAAGTGGCCGCCCCTCCCGCTGCTTGCTGCTAACCTCTCCCATGGCCTCCATTTCCAGCATGGGCTGTGGTTTCTGCAGGGATACTCCATGCTAAGAGAGGCTAAGAATTTTCCTCTGGAGAAGGAGGGTGGTCCTCGGGGGGCAAAAGTTTTTTCTAAACATCCACAATAGAACCTTCAGAGTTAAGGGTAGGCATGACTGACAGCCTCCAAGAAGACCTTCAGTGTGAGCCCAAGACAACATGTAGCCCAAAGGTGGCCTGGAACTCCTGCTACTGGCCAAGGGAAGACAATTTTATAACCTTATAAAATAGCTTATGAAGCCAAAGCAAAGACAACATGGTCCTCAGTCTACGAAGTTCTAAGCGGGGGCTCTGAACGTTCCACAGCTTTATTAAACAATATTCTCCATTTCATGGCTGCTGCCTTCAGGGAAATAATCCTTTGCACATCTGAGGGACTTCCAAGTGACAGAGAAAGGTCACCTGCATCCTCGGTGAAGCTACTAGCTGAGTAACAGTGTGATAGATAACAAATTCCCACAATCTTGCTGACGTATGATCAAGCAGATGTCCTTCTATGATGGGAAATATATCTTCAATTTTGAAAGGGGCCTTTAATCAATGTCACAAATGCCAGCTTTAAAGGGCACCTGCTCGAGCGCTTGGCACTGGAAGATGGCCCCTCATTCATTTTTCTAATGAACCAGAAGCCTTTCTCAGGTTTCCCACCACGCCGTGCGGCATCTGCATGCACCAGAGCACACTGACATGTGTGGAGTGACTCTGTTGTCACCTTGGGTCCCTGAAAATGTATCTCTTTGTATTTTCTAGTAATTCTGGCACCTTTTAATCTATTTTTTCTAAAATACGACAAACATTATCTCTTCCTGAATAATGTATGATATAGTGTAATCATAAGTTTGTTCATGTTATATATTATTATGATTATGCATCATTTATGGCGTATTCATTTCAACCTAACACAGTCTACTTATCATTCCAGACAGCTCTGAGCCAAATATGGGAAATGCCTTATTATGATCTCATTGGCTCCAGAAAACCCCACTGGCTTCCAACGGATTAGCGGGATCTCAATCAGCTCCATGTAGAGGGGAATGTAACACAGAAGAGGTAGAAGAGGTCATGGGTGTAGTGACTGAGGGTGCTGGTGGGTTTGTTCAGGGTGCAGACCGCTGCCTGACTAAGAAGTGCTCTATCTGACTGTTGGTATTAGTCAGTCAGTCAAATAGAAGATAAGGACAAGAAGTGGACAAGGAATGCTCGCAGAGTACATCAACAGACAGAGGACGCTCTGAGAGTATACCAGTACATTACCAGACAGAGGACACTCAGAGTACATTGGTGCATCACCAGACAGAGGACGCTCTGAGAGTACACTGGTATGTCACCAGACAGAGGACACACTGATTTCACACCGGTACATCACTAGACAGACAATGCTCTGAGAGTACACTGGTACATCACCAGACATAGGATACTCTGAGAATACACCGGTACGGCATCAGACAGACAACACTCTAAGAGTACACTGGTAGGTCACCAGACAGAGGACCCTCTGGCAGAGAATGCTCTGAGTGTACCATGGTACCTCACCAGACAGACGATGCTCTGAGAATTTACTGGCACATTACCAGACAGAGGATGCTCTGAGAATTTACTGGCACATTACCAGACAGAGGATGCTCTGAGAGTACACTAGTACGTCACCAGGCAGAGGATGCTCTGAGTTTACACCAGTACACCACTAGACACAAGATGATCTGAGAGTACACCGGTGCATCACAGAAGCAGAGGACACTCTGAGAGTACACCGGTGCATCACAGAAGCAGAGGACACTCTGAGAGTACACCGGTGCATCACAGAAGCAGAGGACACTCTGAGAGTACACCGGTACGTCACCAGACAGACAACACACCGAGAGTACACTTGAGCGTCAACTTGGGCGTCAACAGACAGAGGACGCTTTGCAAATACATCGGAACGTAATCGGACAGTGATTTGTGGACTTATGAAAAGCCCATAGGTGGAAACACAGATGAACAAAAGATAAATGAATAGAAGGGAGACACAGGGAAGTCTTTAAGAACAGGGGTACCCAAACAGGCACTCTCTGGCACTGACAGACATTGGGGGCCGTGTGGCACCCACACTTCTAAAAACCCGGCTGACTGGTCGTTGTCAGCCCTTCAGGTGACAAAACCAGCCGGTAAGCACTGTAAACATGTGACAGTCACATGGCAGCTTGGCAGCTTGGCCTGCTTGACGTGGGAAACAGGCTGGCCAAAGCAAACAAACAAACAGGGGATTGCGGGAAGAAGGAAGGAATGTGGGCAGCTCACTGGCCATGTACTAAATGTCAGCCCTCACACGTTCTCCACAAACGTGCTGCAGGCCAGCCTTTGTCTCGCCATGGCTGCACCTTGGCGAGCCCTTGATTTCCCTCCAGGATTATATCCCTCTGCCAGTGATCAAGGGCGCTGACCAACACTCTAGTGATCTGTCAGCAAGCAGGAAGCTTCTGGGGAGTCCCAACCTCCAAAAAACACCATGGTCACTGAGTGGAGATGTTAGCAGCTTAAAGGAAGATGCCAGAAAGAACAGAGAAACGTGTGCAGTCCAGGAAAACAGCTGTTCAGGCCAAACAAAATCTTTGACAGGTGACCATGCAGACAGTGAGACAGGCAGAGACAGAGACACAGAGACACAGACACAGAGACAGAGAGACAGAGAGACACAGAGACAGAGACACAGAGAGACACAGAGAGACACAGAGACAGAGACACAGAGACAGGCAGAGACAGAGCGACAAGCAGAGACAGAGAGACACAGAGAGACACAGAGACAGAGAGACACAGAGACAGAGAGACACAGAGACAGAGACAGAGACACAGAGACAGGCAGAGACAGAGACACAGACAGGCAGAGACAGAGAGACACAGAGACAGAGACAGAAACACACAGAGACATAGACACAGAGACAGGCAGAGACAGAGAGACACAGAGACAGAGACAGAGACACAGAGACAGATAGCGAAATAGATAAAGAGAGAAAATGACACACGGACAGGCAGACAGACAGACATGCAAACAGTCCTAAGTACTTGCTATCTAAATGCAGAGGTTGAGGTCAAATCTACAAGCCAAGCAGACAGACAGACTCACTTTCTGGTGCGGTTCTGAACAGCCTGTGGTTGGACCTGCGGGACCATGGAGGGCCGTTTGCGATTGGCTTCCATTGGCGGGGTGGGGAGGCCAGGCCGTATCGAGGGGTTCCCCCCATAAGGGGGACCAGGCGGGCCCATGGGAGCACCCTGATGCGGCATTCTCGTGCCAGAGGGCATTCCAGGACGCTGCAGAGGAGAAGAGGGGGAGAGTCAGGGGTGTCTCAAACACAGGGGGTTCATTCCTGCCATGGTTATTTAAGTACTAAACCCAGAGCAGGTTAGAGAACAGCAAACATCCCATAAAACCCAGTGCAGGTAAGACAACAGCAAACTCCATAAAACCAGAACAGGTAAGACAACAGGAAACATCCCATAAAACCCAGAGCAGGTTAGACAACCGCAAACATCCCATAAAACCCAGTGTAGGTAAGACAACAGCAAACATTCCAAACTGGATCTGTACACTAACAAAGATTCTACACATGGGTTCTGCTCTCCAAGTTTGCTCATGACTGTCCTATTTGGGCTTCCATTTTTCAGCCAGAGGACTAGCTGGGGCTCAGTGGTTTGTGTCCTGGGTACGGACTGTGCATGCGCATAGCGACTGTTCAGTGGTTTTCCAAAATAAGGAGCAAATCCAATTTTAATTGGGCACAGCACATCCCATATTAAGGTACCCAGTAACCTGCCTCTATTAAAAGCCACAAATAAGTCAAGCAACACCTTAGTAAGAAAATGTAAACTGGCCGCACATGGCGCAGATGATCTCATGGGACCAAGATGATGAAGAGATACATGTATGTATTACATATTAATATTATGGTTCCGCTTTAAAACCAGCGATGCTTCTGATAAGGAAACAGCAACAGTCTGGGTCTTACACACTGCAGACATAACCTAGAGGGACAGCAGAGCCAAAAAAGCAGTGGATAAATGGAGAGCCAAGGAGAGAATTATGGGTAAAACACCAAAGGCAGTGGCGATAAAGGACACAGCCATACAGTTCAGAGATGGTTCCGCCCCTTTTGGTGCATATTTATTACAGTAGCGAGTTTTCCACTGAATGCGTTAAAACGCAAATAACCCGTTTTTTTTTTCTTTTTTAGATAGGAATGGACAGAGAAAATGGGAGTGAATTTCAAAGTGAGCTCATGCTCTCTGGCAGCGATTCAGACACGGTAGAGTGAGCTATGCAGAAAGGGTGAATCTAAGTATGACAATTAATTGCAAATGTATCTAAAACACACAGAGATGCACAAAGGAGCAGCAGAGTTTATCTCGCTCACAGAACTGAAAGAAATTGTGTGGATATTAGGTCTCCTGCTCAGTCCTTCTCTGCCTTTGCCTGATCCTTTCAAAAATACCTGGGCTCCCCACCATCCACATGAAGGTACCTGATCTGTCATTCAGGGCTCCAGAACATTCTATAGAGGGGCACTTGGTCAAGCCAGATCTGTTCAGCCAAAGATCTCATGCAAGCGAAATGTCTGGGTTGGCAGGTTAATAAAACCACGAGCTGAGGCTTCTAGGACCGTTCAGATGGCCGCAATGAAATGATAAACGCACTGTGCGAAGCTTGGAAACGCTCTAACAGTGAGGAACTCTCTGGAAACAGACGTCTTCTGAACTCAGGAGGGTGACTCGCTTTAGAGGGCATCGGCTCGAAGAGACCGTCCTTGATCCCCGTCTCCACGGCAACGTCCCCATCCCCGCCAGGCACGCGAGTCGCTACCCGTCACATCGTGTGCCAAAAGTAGGAGGGGTCCTCGCTGACTGCTGTCACCCCGGCAGGGCTAGGCGGAGACCTGGCACGGGAAAGAGCGGTGCCCGGGGCAGCCGGGAGGCAAAGAGGTCGTCAACATGCACACAACGCAGCACGGTGGTAGCACCACTGACTAACAGTGCAGACCGACTGTCTGCTTGTAGACTAAGGGCACACCGACCAACTGTCCACTCACAGACAGACAGACAGCACGCCGACCAACCATCTGCTCACAGACAGACAGCATGTGGACCAACTTTCTGCTCACCGCCAACGGCACGCCAACCTACCATCCAATCACAGGCCAACAGCATGCCCACCGACCATCTTACTGTCCGTTTATAGATCAACTGATGATCCGCTCACAAACCAATGGCACACCGACTGAGCATCTGCTCACAGTCCAATGGCTACTTTCAGCTTCTGCAGAATTCACCTCCTGACAAAGAGGTCATCCACATGCACAGAACGCAGCACGGTGGCACAGCCACTGACTAACGGTGCAGACCAACCGGACTGCCACTGGTCAGATTATAGAGTCCAATCAGAGAGAAAACGAGGCGGCTGCTGGTCAGACCTGAGAGTCCAATCAGAGAGACCAGGTCGGCCGCTGGGCAGATTACAGAGTCCAATCAGAGAGATCAGGTCGGCCGCTGGCCAGATTACAATCTGATCAGAGAGACCAGGTCCGCCGCTGGCCAGATTACAGAGTCCAATCAGAGAGATCAGGTCGGCCGCTGGCCAGATTACAGAGTCAGAGAGACTTTGTCAGCTCCATGGTAACACTGGCAAAGCATCCCCAGGGTGAGCCCAGAGTTCCGCTGAGGATGATGGCACAGGCTGATGGTACCTCAAGGCTCCGAACACATGTGCTAAACCAAAGACACTATCAGGACACCTGAACTTGCTGTTGGCCTGCATGTCACAAGTCCGTGTTCCAGCTGAGCTGCCTGTGCCCCCAACAGACCCCCATCTCCTCATTAAGACCTTGGGTGAAGCGGGGGGGGGTATGCCCTACTTAGCCGTCCCATCAATGAGGATGACTAGAGATGCCGGGGGTCATGTTGTAACCATTCCCGCCTCCTCAGTGAGGCACACAGCAGCCTCCGGACTGCCCCCCTGCCCCCCTGCCACCCTGCAGACACAGAGAGCTGCATCCCTTCGGCACTATCCACTATTCCTGCCTCTCCTGCTTCACCTTGCCCCCCCATCACCCCCCCTTAAACGAATAAGCAAAGAAAGTGACAAATCACAGCATTCAGCAGGATGGAAACAACCTTCACATGAGGCTAATCATCAGGAGAGACATGGACAGACAGAAAGACACAGAAAGAGACAGACAGAAAGACAGACAAAGAGAAAGAGACAGGCAGACAGAGAGACGGACAGACAGACAGAGAAAGAGATAGAGAGAGAGACAGACAGAGATACACACAGTCAGATACACATGGTCACATTCACGGTCTCATGGTCAAACAGACACACAAACTGTCACATTCAGTCACACATACACACACATGCTGTCATAGTCAAACACACACATACATATTCTCACTGTCACACGTGGTCACACACACGGTCACACACACACACTTTCTCACGGTCACTCACACACATACACCACACTCATTCTTTCACGGTCACAAACACACTCTTTCATGGTCACAAACACACACTCTCATGGTCTCTCTCTCTCTCTCACACACACACACACACAAACACTGTGACTGTCACACACACACAATCACACACACACTGTGAGGGTCACACACACATACACTCACATACACACTGTAATGGTCTCACACACACTGTGACGGTCACACACACTCACAAACACACTGTGATGGTCACACACAAACAGTGACGGTCACACACACACTCACACACACACTGAGACGGTGATACACACACACAGTGACGGTCACACACACACTGAGATGGTGATACACACACACAGTGACGGTCACACACACACTCACACTGTGACCATGGCACACACACACAGTGACAGTCGCACACACCCTCACACACACACACACTGTGACGGTGACATACACACTGTGACGGTCCCACACACACACACACTGTGACGGTCATACACATGCACTATGATGGTCACACACATGCACATACACACACACACTGTGATGGTCACACACACACACAAAGTGACGGTCACACTCTCGGTCACACGCTCAGCCCCCACCACCCCCGACTCACCAGCCCGTGCACCAGGAACTCAAACAGTTTGCTCTTGGTGGCACTGCGCGCTCCGCCGGCTGTGTCCTCCGCAGCCATTGAGCAGCCCCCCCTCCCCCCGTTGCTCCCCTTCTTTTGTGCTCCCTTTTCTCCCTCTGCCTTTCCCAGGGCCGCCCCCCACGCTCCTCTCCCACCTGCCTATCGCCGCGCCTGCCGTCACCGTGCCGCCGTGTCCCTCACCCCCGTCCGCTGCCCCTCCCTCTCTCCTTTTTAAAGCGCCGCCCCGCCAAGTCCTCTCTCCGACTCGCACACTTTTCTAGTTGTGCCGTCTTTCACAAGCCCAGTGGAGGACAGGGTTCCGGCAGGGGGGCTGTGGCCAGCCCACCCTCATGGCCCCCAGTGCAGCTCTCGCATTCCATTGGCTGATGAGGGCGGCTGGTCTGACTGGCTGATGCTCTCCGCTACTTATGGGTCGGGGCTGGAGAAGTTTGCTCTTTGGAGTGCTGTTCCCCAGGCTACACTGGGACTGTGAGCTGCCCCAACGCAGTGCGCTCATTCTGAAAAAGGAGCAGAGCCGCTTAAAGGAGCCACGACGCATTTTACAGAGGGGACCATTAACAGCGGTGAGCAGCAGTCTTTCATTGCCACAGAAAAATGGCAAAAAAATCCAATACCTATAAATAAATATGATTTAGAAATATGTCAGTTTACAGTAAATAAAGCACTTTTCGCCGCAAAGAAGCAATAAAAATCTAAAGAATTTGCAGTAGCACGATTCCAGCATTATGGATGTGACTTTTAGACTCACATGTTACATGTTACAAATGCATATTTTTTTATCAGCATTAAGGACATGTCCTCAGTTGGACCTTTTCATGGAATGACTGAATAATTATATTCAGTTACTGACTATAAATGGGAAAAGAGGCAGCATTTCACTCAGGCTGGTCATTCTCCGCCTGTAAAGCACAGGCGGCACGGCCGTAACTCTGACACACTAAAATAAGCATATTGCATCCACCCCACAGCCAAGTTAAACATCACAAAAATTCCCCACATTGTTCATCTACTGTGTCCCATCATGAAAAGTGAGCGAAAGTGACCAGACACTTCTCTGCACCTTTGAATGTGGGGTTTAGCTAGATGCTCCCAGTGAAGTAATATGATTGAAGGCTATCCCCTGGTGGACATCGGGGGAATTACAACCCGAACGGTATCTGTACATTTACAGTGTATAGAGTCAAGATTCTTTAATTGTCACATGCATAGTTAAACAGGTACAACATGCAGTGGAATCTATCCTGAACCACTCTTATACTAATATTAGTTACTAACATTAGGTTGCAAAGGCAGTGATTACATTTCTAAGCAAATGCAGACAGAAAAGTGTCTTCCCTCAGTTGCCCCTTCTATTCCACTCCATGGTGAGCGTGCTGCCACAGGCAGTACCGGCCTGCCTTTAGACAATCATCCTAATGCTGTTACCTTTACAATCAGGGGGGGTGAACCTGAACTTCGCTGAGTGGCCACCAGAGGTCACTCAATAAAAACCTGAAATAGTGTCACTGTGTATCCCTGAAAGTCAGTGTCTCAACAAAATAATCTTAAATCTCAATAGCCACAGATTCATAGTCAACTTTTTAAATAGCAAAGTAAAACACTCACACAGTCAACTACTCAACATTTACATCTGCTGCATCCCAAATTAACAGGATTCACTGAAGATACTGACCTGTCTTATTTAGTATAGGTTATACTCAAAGGATTAAACTCACAGAACTGGCATCCTAACTGCTAAATTCAAACACAACAGACAGCCTCCATATAATTTATACACAGTAATACAGCTCCATTCTATGGCCACACAAAAGGTAAAAAGAAAACGTGCTTTGATTCATGTAACCATGGAAACCCAATATGGCAGGGCCAAAAAGAGATTTTGACAATGACTGTGGGGTGTTTGAATCCCCCTGAGAGAACCCCCATTGCTCAGTCTCCAAAGCCAGTGGCATCAAATGATAATGACTGGGGTGGGGGTGGGGGGGGTTCAGCACAGCTGGTGGATTAGCACTCCCCCTGCTGGCCACTCAAGCCCTCAGGTAGAATAATGCTTCATGGTCCTTTGGCTTGGTCATCAGTCACCTGCCCAGTAAGTGGACAGACGGATGGACAGACAGACAGACAGATGTCAGCATGGTTTGCTGCTTTTTAGCTGGTCCATTTTAGGTATTTTTCTATGCACAGAAATGGCATGTTTTGCCACAAGAAGCTTCAAAACGCTCCCTCTTGCTGTTAGATGCAAACTCTGATGAGTGTTATTATAGTTTTGATTTTTCAATTTAGTTTTTATTTTTGTATCATTTCCAGTTTTCATTTGAAATCCAGTTTACTTTTAGTTTTCAGTGTGGGTTTATTAGTTATTTTAAAGATACATTTCAATTTAGTTTCTATGTATTTTGGTTTCAGCTTAAGGTTTAGTAATTTTATTTCTAGAGAAACAGAGAGTTGTAGATCTATTTAATGCTTCAGTTCCTATATCCTATATCCTATATGAATATGACTAAAGTCCTCAAAATAGGCTAAATATGTTCCAGGTATCATTAATGGTAATGAAAAATAAACAAATCATTACTTTGGCAAAAAAATTAAGAACTGGCAAAGGAAAGTATTCAACATACGCTTTTATTTTATTTCAGTTAAATTCAGAAGGAATATTTGTAGTTTTTGTTTATTTGTAGTTTCCCCATAAAAGTCAGGGAGCCCACATAATGTGCTTTTAAAGCTCCACGAGTCAGTGGCACACTGGCTAAAACACTGCATTGCAAAAATGCACAAAGCCAGCAGATTTGTTTGTAGTGTTTTGTTTTGGGCTTGCTTGCAAACTTGTATCTTGCTAAGTGGCTACATGCCTGATTGGTTAAAAACAAATTTTGGGGGGTGTGGTGCCTATGAATATTGAGTAATATCTTTTTTTGTTTTACTTTTTTAGGAAAATAAATCGATTAAAATCATAAATTGGGTGTAAGTGTAAAAAAACTGAGTTTTTTTTTGGGGGGGGGAGGGGTAATGCAGATCTGAAGCAGAGGAAGCTGTGAATCAAATTTAAGAAAAAATTCCCACCTGACCACCACAGATTTTTAAGGGACAGGGGTGGGGGGTGTTTAGGCCTTTTTCAGGGCATCTTGTACATGTGGGGCTGTATATAAATTATCAGAGTCTGTGTATGTGAGCATAATTCTTTCTCCAAATTTATACGGAAAGGACGAGGCTGTTATCCCTCCAAACCAGAAGTACTAGTGGAAGACAACTGGTCACAGCTACCAGTGGCTGTTTCCCTCATCCTCATCATGGTCTGTGTTTCTCACTATATGGGAATAAGCTGTTTACTGAGCTCCCACAGTCCACGTCCATGTTAACCCACAAACACACTGACTAACAGCTAACATAACATAAAGCAGGGGTCTCCAACTCCGGTCCTGGAGAGCTACCGTCCAGTAGGTTTTCTATCATACCCGGCTTCTGATGAGCCACACCTGTTCTCAGGTAAATACCAGGAGCAGGTGTAGCTCATCTGAAGCCAAGTGGGACAGAAAACCTACTGGATAGTAGCTCTCCAGGACCGGAGTTGGAGACCCCTGATATAAAGGGAAAGGGAGATATATAGAAAAATATAGAAAAATAGACTTTATTTTATTACTGGACTGGAGACATTTTTTTTTTTAATGGTGGTGAGGAACAAAATCAGAAGTCAGCATTTTTGTCGATGCCGAAACTTGAGCCACCCAACTCAGTCAGATCTGAGAAAGAAGCAAGACCCAGAATCGGGCCAGAGCCTACCGTCTGGATCTGTCCATGCTTACCCTGAGTACTCTACTGTGTCCGCGGCAAAGGGACACACAGCCATTTCATGGACACCCAGAAGCAAAGCCATCACAATGAGAAAGTATCAAAGTTTTAACCCTCTCTGTAAATACAGATAGCATAGCTAGAAATTCTGGCCTCACAGACAAAAAAAAATGTCACTTTCAAACAGGGGTTCCCCAACAGTGGATAGAATTTGCTGAGCAAGGAAGACCCTCGGGGGATTCTGCAGAGCAGAGAGGGGTTACCGTAGAATTCAGGGGCTCTAAAAAAGGAATCTGAATCTGCCACGGCATCCATGCCCCTCTGACACTCCAGTGTGCAGGTTTCAGAAAGCCAGACTGTTTCCCAGACAGCAATGGTAAGTGTGGCACAGGGTGTTAGTTCTCTGTGCCTGAGATCAGAATGTCCTTGGTTCAAATCCTGCTCAGCTTCACTCTCAGATCTGTATGTGTTTATGTACGTCTCCAAGGAGAGAAGATGAGGTAGGCGAAACTGAAGAGTTCATGTACAAATGGATAATAAAACATTGCACAGCTCTGTTGACACTGTTAAGTGAGAGGCTATTTTCCTCTAAAATCAGGGCTGCAGGCCGGCCGGCTGATCACAGTTACCAGTGGCCGTTTCCCTCACCTAGTCTTTGACACAATATTTGTTTTTCACTATACAGCAATGCGCCTAAGTTTACCACCACCTTAGGCAAAAAAAGCACCAGAAAAGGAGTTTTGGTGATGTCGAAACTTGACCCACAAAACCCAGTTAGTTATGAGAACGAAACCAGCCTGGCGCCACAGCCCAGCCTGAGGCCATCGGGGTGATCTGTTTATGCTCGCACTAATTGTCCCTCGGAAAGGGTCACACAGGTATATCGGCAAAGGCATCTTGGTGCCGCAGACCATAATGAGCCGCCTGATCGGATAAGAGGTCCCATCCTCCCTGTATGCACAGGGTCTTGCATTCAGCAGCAGCCCCACAAAGCCGGATAAAAGCAGGAGCAGCCGCGGCTCACCAGCGCAGCGCGGGTTGATTAAGATCGCGCCACGTTATCGCAGCGCGTCATGTCTCAGTAGGTGGCGAGCTGGCCAAGCTCCCGACCGGGCCAAAGTGGGCAGGGCTGCGCGGCGGGGGCTTCAGGGTAGGATACAATGCAACTCACAATGCAGACACGGCCGGGGGGGCACTACTAGATTCCATGCTGAACTCTTACCTTCTTCTCCATCTCGGCGATGCGCTGCGCCGCGTCGGCAAACGTCAAGCGGCGAGTGTCCGGTCCGGCGCCCCGGCTCCCCAGCTGAGAGGGGAGGGTACACGGGGACTGTGGACAGGGGGTCGGGGGTCTTCGGCGTTCAGTGCGGCGGAGGCAGCCGCGCAGGCGCGTCCATCGATGGAAAGGGGAGCGGTGCCGAAGCGCTGGAAGGGAGCGTCAGCAAATTACCACTGAAGATGACAAAAAAAAAACCATTTTATTATCAATAATAGGTCGGTTTTCCTTTGTTATGTAATTTTAACCCCTCGGTTTTAAGGCGCAGACCCACCGAAGATCAGGAACGTAGTTCCTGGTTCCGAGCTCCTGGGTTGTCTCGACCGAGAACTTTTGTAGTTCCTGGCTACGTTTGTGTGTCGCTTTCCCACCGCATAACAGGAAATGTGATTTTAATGCTAAATAAGCATGGGAGACGCAAAAAGCTCGTAGACTGAACCACACAGCCAATTCAAACAATAGAGGGTGACTAAATCGTTTTGTTAGTTCTGCAATTTTTTCTGCCTTACCAGAATTTGCTACCTAAAAAATAAAATATAAAACACTTATATCTACTAGGATACACTAGGATTTATGCTATCAAAATAACTTCCCTAAAAGGGGGGAGTTTTTTTTACACATGCCACCTATTGTTTTCAGTGTTGCTGTAGTTTTTCACACATTGTTTTATCCCGCCACAAACTGCTGCCTATAGTTTTTAGTGTGGAAGCAGTTTTTTTGCACCTAGTTTTATGCTGCCAGAAACTGCTGCCTATAGTTTTCAGTGTGGTAACAGTTTTTATAAGGAAATTTAATGCCATGATAATATTTGTTTATTTAATTTTAACCTTTATTTAACCAGGTTTGTCCCATTGAGATCACAGATCTCTTTTGCAAAGGAGACCTGGCCAAGGTAGCAGCAACACAATATCAGTACAAAATCTTACATAAAATTACATAAAACATACTCAAACTATACATATGCAATGTCATGAAGCGATCATCATTGGTCGTTATTAGCTTCCTAAACTCTAGGCATTTCTGCTTAATTTTACCTGCTGTAATTTCATGACTTGTACAAAATATACAAGGATTAACTCCACAATATTAATAGTGTCAAGAAAAGACATTGAACTTACCAAATTATTATGAGCCAAAAATATTTTGCATGTTTGGAAAATAGTGATGAAAGTAAAGTAGCCGAAAACATTTCTCTTTAAAACCAAGCTTCTATAGTACACATCAGTGCGCTAAATATATGGCTGAATAGCTTTAAACATAAGAGTAACACGCATTTTATATGTAATGATGAAACTCACATTTTTCATATAATCCAGCTTCAGTTCACCATCTCCATTTCCTCAAAAATGTTCGTACGCATGACTCAGAGTTTTCGTACAGATCCGCATATTCTGTCGTCAAATTTGTTTCTATTTATCGCAACGTTTGCCTGGGAAGCTGCGGACGCCTCTTTCATGTGCCGTTTTGTGCGTACGCAGCGGTTATAAATGATACCCCTGGCGGAGATGGTGAAATGAAGCCAGATTGTTGGGAAAAAATGAGTGGCATCATTACACGTATAATGATGCCTTATGCTTGTGCGTCATAACTCGTACATTTAATTTCACCTCATAGCACACGCCACATACACATCTACTTTACCATAGAAAAAAACGGTTCAAATCTTAAACCAAGCTACACTTGTAATATTCATCAGCGCTGTCTACTTCGCAGGTGTTGACATGTGAATACATTAGAGTGGTGGCCATGACTGGATAATAACGATCATTTGGACAAAGTGTGAAGCATTCACTCTGATTGCTGGAAATATATAAATACTACGGTCACGCAGGTGCATAAAGCTGCACAAGGATTTTTTAATGCCACGTGCTGTCTTGTTTGCTGTGCTCACAGCACTAACAGGATCTGCAACGTGTTGCCACTCGCTGCATTTTTTTTGCTTGTCTCCCCACTGCTATGACCACCAAAGAAATGGTTTTTCTACTCACCACCTCACCCACAAGCACCTGGATTTTCTTGCACTTTCAGTCGATTGCCATAATAAGTAAACGTTTATCAGACCTAATTAGTATACGTCAATATTCATGATGTGTTTGCATTGACTATTTTTGGCTTTATATGTACGCATCAATATTCATATAGTGTTTTGCATTGACCATTTATGGCCAAATATGGGCGAGGGCGGAATATGAGGCTGATCCACGTGCGCACACTTCTAGGTAGAATGTGATTTATATAGAGAACATTGCTCGCAAATGTGCGTGCGTACGGTTTTATAAATCTGATTTTTTTTTACTTACGCCATTTTCGGCTTTTGTGCCTAAGTATAGTTTTAGTATGAGTCATTTGCACTGTTTTTATAAATGAGACCCATGAGTCGTACTTTTAAGAATTCACCTCTTCGTAGTGTCTTTGCCACATTTGGGCCACACCCTCATTCTGATTGGTGTGCAGTTCGTGGGCCAGATCCTGGGCACCTGCTATCAAGTCAGGTTGCAGTATAAACCCCAGTTTTGGGCCGAGGAGCTACAACAGCCGTCGTGTGAAGGAATCACTTTTCGTGTGATTTGGGAATCTCCATAACACAGCTTTGTTTGCTGAGAAGGCTAATGTTGACCAGAAATTGAGTCATGTCCTACTCAATCAGAATCGAACCCGAAGCTGCAGCACACGGCATTTATATTGAGCTGAAAAATGGAGAATGGCTGTCCGGAGAGGTCAAAGTTACAAAACAAGGCACAGTGAGTTTGATACAAAAAAATGAAAATTTACATGCTTGTGACTTATGAAACCTTTACTAATATATTGATATATAAAAATATAGATTTATTCTTGATTAATGCTGCCTTTTCCTTCCCAAAGGCCATTGAGTTTAATCAAGAACCACAAGAGATCATCATCCGACGGCAAGCATCTTTTATTAAAAGGATATTCACGACATTTTACTGCAAATACATTGAGGTGGAGAGCTTGGGATCTGTCTTCTACTTTCCGGTCTTCAGAAACGTTTCCATCACGAAGGAGACCATAGCAGAAGGTTCAGGTATGTAGTGTGAAAGTCTGCCGCTACTTTCACACAGGATCAGGAAATTTTGATTTATATATGTGTGTGTGTTCGCACAAGACTGGGAAAATTAGAAAGTATATCTTCAGGAGCAGGGTTGGTGACCATATTTTTAGAGTTTGGTTAATTTCTTGTTCACACAAGGTATGCATAGGCCAATTGTGCGAAGTGTGTGGAGAAGATATTTATCTTCTAAAAGTACCGTTTTTTGAGACTTCGCCGGTTTGGTAAAAACAATGTACAAGTTTAAAATTTTACAATACTTTCAAATGTTAACCAGTGAGTTCTCTCCCGGCGCGCGCGAGGGGCACCTATCGCAGATGGCAATCTAGATTGCCGGTTTTATCTGTGGCTCCCAACTCGGCGCCCGTATTTCCCCCCCCGATAACAAGCTGAAATGTGGACTCATCTGACCGCAGCACATGGTTCTTTCGGTCCATCAGAGATGATCTTGGTCCCAGATAACTTCCCGGCGTTTCTACATAGTTAATGTACGGCTTCCTCCTTGCGTAATTTTTGGGTGCAGCGAAGGACTGTTAAGTGACTGGTTTTCCGAAGCACTCCCGAAACCAATTAGCTATATTTCTTAGTGGCATAATGGTATCTTAGGCGGTGCCGCCTGAGGGCTCGAAGATCACTCGCATTCAACAGTGGTTTCCCACCTTGCCCTTTAGGCACTGAGATGTCTCTGCATTCCCTCAATCTTGTCACGATATTTTATGCACTGTAGATATCGCAAGACCCGAATTCTCTGCATTCTTGCATTGAGGAATGTTCTTTTTGAACTGACTAACAATTCGATCTCTCTCAAATTTTGGCATAAAGGGGTGATCCACGCCCCGTCCTTGCTTGCAAAGACTGAGCCTTTAATGGATGCTACCTTTTTATCCAATCATGATACCTCACCTGCTACCAAGTAGGCTGCTTGATGTCTTGAGAGAGTCTTCCAAACTGTTATTACTGGAATAGTCTGTGCAAACTGAGTGTGTTGCAGCCATCAAATCATGACTTTGTGTATATTTACAAAATACAAGTTAGTTCGGTCAGTACAACTTTTGTCAGTTGAATAAAGGCTCATTTATGTTTTTATTACATTTCAGAAAATATCCCAACTTTTCTGGAAATGGGGTTTGTAGAACTGAGTGAGCGCAGTGTGCGGTTGTGGAGGTGCCACCGCTAGTTGCTTGTTATTGCTAATCATTAGAAGCTGCTCAAACGGTGAATGGTAGGAAGAAGGTAGAAAATTTTGTGTAATATAATTTTATCACTATAATAAGACTTGAACTGTAATATTTATCTAAGCTCCCCCTGAATGAAGACAAAATGCGCTAGTCTGGGGCATAATCCCACCCTGTTGTAGTAGTGGGATAACATTCTGGGAGCATTGGGAAAACTGGACACTTTGAACATTTCCATAGCCTACCATAATCGTAATGTTCGCTAAACATTTCCTTGAATGATGAAATTGTTAGCGGGATCATGCAGAAATGGGATAGGCCAGGTCATGTGATGCGTCACTCTCCTTTGTACGTGGCTTGGTGTGTCCAAACTTTTGACACAGTGTAAGCCTATACATCTTAAACATTATGCAGAACAGCATGTACTGTGTTCTCACCATGATGAAGGGGTGTCATTAAACACATGGCAGATTGTAAATAGGCTGGAAGGTAATATTTTCTATTTATGTTGTGATGGTTTTCTGATATGTTTGCTCTGAGACCGCGATCAAAGTAAGCAGCTAGAAGATGCGTGGATGGATGTGAATGATTCAGTTAAACTATCTGTTCCAGGAAAGCTGCCTTGGGAAGATGATAAGCAGACAAGGAAGGAGGGGATGGCAGAGAAAAGGAATCTCCAGGGTAAGTGACCATTTATAACTCTGCACTCACGTTTGTGTTGGTATGAGGATCAGTGTCGTAGTTCCATGGCCTGCAGGATGTGAGCCAGCAGGTGACAGTCAGCAGCTTAAGTGTCTGAATCACACCGTGTTAAATTTTGTATGGATGGTGAGACATGTCTCTTGATAAAGACGGTTCTCTCTGCTTGTTGAGGGAAATGTCCGTCACTTTCTAATGGATTTCAATTTTTTTTCTAGAGCTAGTTGGCTGGGCTTCACCTCCTCTCAGTAAGCTTAAACACTATACTGTTGAAACACACCATGGTCTTTAGTTGAAGAAAATTATTTCCTCTATCTAATGAATTGAATTTTTTTTTTCTCTAGGTGCACCTTCCGAAGATGCAGTGTCGCAGAATTTAAGTATGTCTGATCCATGTTAAAACTCTATACAGTCGGCCCTCAGTATCCATGGGGAATTGGCTAAAAGACGCCCCCCGGATACCAAAATCCACATATTCTCAAATCTGTCAGATTAAATGGTGTAATATGTAGATCCTTCCATATACTTTAAATCATCTTCAGATTCTGTGTCTGTGCAACACTGCTCTACGTGCCTCAAATTGCCCCTCGGGGACAAATAGTTTTTTGATTTGAATACCTAATGCTATGTAAATAGTTGCTATGCTGTGTTTAGGGAATAATGACACAAAACTGTACATGTATGTTCAGTACAGATGCAGCCATCGTATTGAATTACCATAGAATAATTCATAGATACAGAAAATATTAATTAATTCTCTCACACACACATACACAGTATAGTGGTTAACACTCACCAACATCCAAAACCGCGTATGGAAATTCAGGTTTTCCTTTTAGAATTTTTCTGGCTTTTTATTTTTTTTTCTCGAATACTTAGATTGAATCTGCAGATGCGGAACCTGGGGATATGGAGGGCTGACTATGTTATTTCACTGCTGATATATGACTGGCTGGAGTCCAGTAAATGATGCATTTAACTTCAAAAGCTTCCATCGCTTTGTTTGTATTACTATCAATATGAGAATATTAGATCAAAGCAGAAATATTGTAAAATGGAGAACAATACAAAATGCATTAGATTATTAATCTGTCTTCCCTGTGGCTGGTTGTCTGACCTTTGATTGTATGTTTGATCTTTAGCGTATTATGACCAGTGCTTGTCGTTCAGTAAATGGAGGTTTTCTAAGTTCTGATAAACCATCTTCCTTTCAGCAAACACCTTCTCCCTCATGTCACTGGCCAAACATCATTGCTGTAAGTCAACCTTGTTTATGTCGGTAAGATCATACAATTGTGATCTTTTTGTGAACCTAAAGAACTGACCCATGAGGGCTTCTGTAACTGTGATCCCATTTCCAACTACAGTGGTACCTCAGAACTCGAAATTAATCTGTTCAGAACTCCGGATCGAATCCGAAAAAGTTTGAGTTCTGATCGACTTTTCCCCATAAGAAATAATGGAAAACCAATTAATTGATTCCCGGCCCCAAAAAATAACACCGAAATGTGTGTTTGTTTTTTTTTTTTTAGCATTTAAACACAAAATGAACTTGACAAAACAAGAAAAGCATATACAGTACTGTACTAAACACATCTAAGCACATTTATCAAAACAGTAATTTTTAAAGTAAGAAACTAAATGTATCCAATGTGTAAAGTTAAAAAAAAATAATAAAAAAAAAAAAAAATCATGCCCCGATCACCCGCTCCTTCTGTGTGCCAAGCCCCTTCGTTAACCCTGTGTGGAATCCCCGTGTGATCAGCTCTTTCTGGTTGTTGTCATTCGTCCTCTATATTTTGTCCGCATTTCAGTTTGTTTCCCCAGTCCGGTCATTGTATTGTCCGTCTGCGTTTTGCCTGCCTTACCTGTATTCCCCAATACCCTGACGTCTGCGCCTTTGTCTCCGTTCCAGCCCCGCTGGGCACGACAATATTATTGTAATTTAATGTATTAATGGTTTATTATTAATATTAAAATAATAAAAAATCTTTATTTTTAAATGTATTATATAATAATTACTATTACTGTCTATCATTGTCGAAATGTATTCAGTTAGTGTAAACATGCGCGATGCTATCACAGCGAATGCGAGGCTGAGACTGAAGCGTTACCCTTTGTTTCTGCTGAGAGACGTGCCACGTACAAAA